GCCGCCGGGTAAATAAAATGGCCGCCCGCAGTGTTTTCGCGCCCTTTCCTCGCTTACCGGGCAGCGAAAATGGCGGCCGGATGGAGGATTTTCCCTTAAAGGTGAGTTTTTTCCCCATAGGAACGCATTAAACCTGTTTTAATGCGTTCCTATGGGGTTTTTTGCCCCGCATAGCGACGAATCTGGATAGCGACAATTTTTTTGGAACGGATTATCATCGCTATGCGGGGAACCACTGTACAAAAAAAGAAAGAAAAATTAGAAGAGAGAAAGAAGGTGAAAGAAAGGGTGCTTATGATATTGCCATCATTATACCGTGTTTCCTTGAAAATAAAACAGGGTCTTATATTAATTTTTGCTCCAAAAATGCATTAGGGCTTATTTTCAGGGAATGTTTATATTTTTCATGTACAAAAATCTACATTTATTCAAATACAGTCATGTCATCTTCTTCCGGTTGCTGAACAATGGTGGAGGACAGAGTTTCACTTAACTGGGGCTTATTTTTGGGGAAGGGCTTGTATTATGAGCATCCTGAAAAAATCATACTAGGGCTTATTTTCATGTTAGTTCTTATTTTAGGGGAAACAGGGTATCATGATAATTGATTATACTACGTAGTTTTAGAAGAGGCCGTCGTGTTAGTCTGTGCTTGTGTACTAGGCCAAAACAAAATAATAATAAAAAATAAAGCAGACAGAAACTTTGTGGTTCCTTAAAGATTCACTATTATAATGTGAGTTTTCATGGATAAGTCTGAAGAAAATGTAATTTGTTTGTTTTTTCCTTTTCTTTTGGCCTCATTTTCACTCAACAGTGGAATAACTAGTCTGTCTGCATCCTAGTTGTGTATGTGTACATATACATATGCACAATGGTTAACTATTGCTGTTGGCAGTAATTCAGGGAAAAGAGAGGCAGAGCATCTTGAATCCCAAATCTTTCATAAACCCAAAGAATAGACTCTTTGGTTACTCATATTTCTAACTGCTACTCTTTCTGCTGTTTCCCCTGCTACACTGAGGACTTTTTGTATTACTTCATCTATCTTCAAGAGGTTTTCATGTTTTAGCATGAAATGTAATGTAGTGGTGGAATTTTTGTAGTTAAAATACAGTGGTGCCTCGCATAGCGAGGTTAATCCGTTCCGGATTAACCTTCGCTATAGCGAAACATCGCTAAACGGAAATAAAAAAGCCATAGAAACGCATTGAACTTTGTTCAATGCGTTCCTATGGCTTTAAAACTCACCGTTAAGTGATCTTCCTCCATAGCGCCGCCATTTTCGTGCCCTCGGTAAGTGAGGGCAGGGCGCGAAAATGCGGCGCGGACCTTCCGGTGGCCATTTTGGAACCGCCGATCAGCTGTTCTCCCCCTCTTCGTTATGCGATATTCGCTAAGCGAATCGCTTAGCGAATATCGCAAAGAGAAAAAACACCATAGGGGCCATCGCTGAGCGAATGCTCCAGCGATGGCCCAGAGCCCCTCGTTAAGCGATTTAATCGCTCAACGGGGCGCTCGTTAAGCGAGGCACCACTGTATTCCGTTGTGGTCCCTTGTTGACTATTGACACTTTGGAATATACAGTAATACTGTGAATTTCCAAAACACTGTAGATTTATTCACATGATATTTTAAAGTTCATGAAATTAATATTCAATGTTTTCCTCCACCACTGTTATTTAATCTCTGCCCACCCACTCCCGAAATAAAGAGACGGACACAGGTGTTGGCTCAAGGTCAGCAACCACACTACAGTGGTGCCTCAATTTGCGACCACAATCCATTCCAGAAGACGTGCATAACTCGAAATGGTCGTAAGTCGAAGCACCACTTCCCATAGGAATACATAGAAACCCCATTAATCCGTTCTGGCTGGAAAAAAAAACCAAAAAATAAATAAAATAAAAATAAAATACTGGAAGCCCCATAGAAATCCGCTGGGGCTGAAAAACAAACACATCAAAACAAACAAAAAACACAGCCAGCCCCAGCTGAATGCTATGGGGCTCAGAAAATAAGACTCACCCCCCACACACACTGCCAGCCCCAGAGGAACACCATGGGGCTGGGGGGAAAAACACAACCCCCCCACAGCCAGCCTCAGTGGAACCCTATGGGGCTGGGAAAAAACCCACAAAACACCCTCCACATACACACAGCCAGCCCGAACGTGATGGGGCTTGGAAAAAAACCACACCAAAACACAAAAAACATCACAGCACAGGAGGGAAGGCACTAAAACTGGAAAAAAAGTAAACCAAAACCAGTTTTGATCTCTTACCTGGTCGTCGTCTTGGGCTGTATAAGGAGGGAAGGTGGTAAAAACACAAAAAATAAACCAACATTAGTTTTCATCTCTTACCTTCTCAGTGTCTTTACCTGAATAAGGAGGGAAGGCAGTTAAAATGGAAAAAAATGAACAGAAATTGGTTCTGATTCCTTACGTGGTCATTGTCTTCATCTGCATAAGGAGGGAAGGTGGTAAAAATGGAAAAAAAAACCAAAATTAGGTTTGATCTCCTACTTGGTCGGTGTCTTGGCCTGTATGAGAAGGGAAGGTAGTAAAAAAAAAAAATCTAAATTGAGTTTTGATCCCTTACGTGGTCAGTGCCTAACCATAAGATATGTTGTTTTACTTAGAAAATAGTTATGTGATATGTATTAATATTTATAAACCACTCTCTTTATATTTTGAGCAAGTAATTAACACTGAATATGGAAATAAATACAGTGGTACCTTGCTAGACGACGACCCCACTAAACAATGAATCCGCATAACAATGACTTTTTGCGATTGCTGTAGCGATTTGCAAAACAGTCATTCCAGTGGGCGATTTTCACTTGACAACAATTTGGTCCGTGCTTCGCAAACCATTTGTTTGCAAGACAACGATCTCTACAGCTGATCAGCGGCTTCGCAAAATGGCTGCCCTGTGTTTTCCAGACCCATGCTTCGCAGGACAGCCATTTTTACAGCTGATTGGCGCTCCGCAAAATGGCTGCCCTGTGGGTGATGTTCGCAAAATGATGAGGTATTTTCCCCATTGGAATGCATTAAACGGGTTTAAATGCATTCCAATGGGGAAATGGTTTTCGCATGACGATGGTTTCGCTAAACAGCGATTTTCATGGAATGAATTATCATCGTCATGTGGGGCACCACTGTACAAGAGAAATCAACCCAGAAAGAGGACGATTTAGCTGAACAAGTCAATAGATCCTGGCGTATTAACACATTAAATGGATAAATATTTCAGACATAATAATCTTTGGAACCCTTCAGACTCGGAAACAATATTTATTTATTTATTTATTTATTTATTTATTTAACTTACATGCCGCCCACACTACCCGAAGGTCTCTGGGCGGCTTAGAGCATTTAAAATAAAATAAAAAGGCAAAATAAAAGGGCAAAATAATTAAAATGCAATTAAAATGTATATTCTAAAAATTGCCATCAGACCCACAGCTGATGTTCAGAAATGAACAACAGACCTTTACATATTATAACAACATAAACAAAAACTTTTTTTCTAGTTATGGTTACTAAGGAAGGAGAGTAACTGAATACAATCTAATGAATGCTAGGGATGAAATACACAGATTAATCATGCAGAGTGGGCAAATGTTTCAGAAATGAAACATTTCTGTTTCATTTCCAACAACTACACCCACAGCTCCATCAGAAAGGGGGCACCAGAAAAGGATCCCCACAAATGCTACTCTTTCCCATCTGTGTGGGCAGTCTGTTATTGAAATCCAGCTTACATCTGGCTGCCCCCGAACAAGCCCATTTGTCTCCATTAAAAACAAACAGCAACCTCTCAAAAATACCACATCAACTGCCCTGCCAGACCTCACCACCTTAAACCTACACTACCCAGGCAACGCCTTAATGTAGTTTCCAGAGCTATAGACAAAACAGGAAGCAAGCCTGTCTGTTGATAGAGTACATCTCTACAAACTATGAGCCTGAATGGTTAAGCCCGGATGAAAGGTAAATTTAAGTAAACAAACAAAGTAATTTTGAAAAGCCAGGGTCTCTCTAACTCACTCTGCTCCCAAAGGCTGTTAAGGCAAGAAAGCAGCAAGTGAGCAAAGACCAACTGTCAAGAACTTAGATCACTGTTGCTCCAGCAATCATGTGACCTCAGAGGTCATGTGACACCTTCTCTCATTATGTCCTCAGCAGTATGTCAGTATTTATTTAAATATCTCTCACACTCTTAAGCCCAATCAGGCTGCTTGAAAGAGTGAAATAAAAGTCTTGTCCTGTGGATCATAAATACTTCTGCATGGGCTGCTGTTGGGCTGTTTTGTTTTTGTTTTTCTTATAAGCTCATAAATGATAAGTAGTAACTACAAATGAGCATCCATTAACTAACTTAGTTAATGACGTGGAGCTATTTACCTACTCCTTTTTAGGTCAAGAGTCAAGAATGGAATATTAGAAGATGTTGGAGAACTAATTGCCGTTCAAAGCACTATTTATGTCACAGAACCCTGGTCCAAATTCAGAAAATGTTAGCACTAAAATAAATCTTTCTTTTTCTCGTCCTGACTTAGCACAATCCTAATTAGCCAGGCTGGCCTTAGGCTGGCTGAACCAGACTCTCACAATTAAGAGGGAGATGCCTGTTAAAGGTACAGTGTGCTATTTCCCCCAAATACAAGTCCTTTCTGCAGCTGCCATGAAACCCATTGCAACACCAGTTTGCGCCGTAGACAGCAAAGCCCCTCCTAGTGCATCTGGTGCAGTCAGAGTGCCCCCATGGCATCTGCCTTTCTCTCATTTAAATCTCCACCCACCCCACTGTCTGAGAGAACCACAGGAGGCAGCCAAAGAAAACCTCTGTTTATTGATCTATAGGATGTTTATTGATCTATACTCATGATTGGGCAGCTTGGGTCCCTTCTACAATACTAAATTTGTGGCTTATGACTGGAGAGCCAGCTTGAATCCCTACCACTGTCAATCCACCTGCCCCTTACCTCCTGGTTTATGATTGGAGGGGCAATTTGAATCCCTTCCACCCTCGCCTCTTGGCTCCTGATTGGTGGGGCCAGCTTGTATCCATCCCAGTGATATTTTGCCCACCCCCTACCTCGTGACTGATGATTAGGGCACCAGCCTGTATCCATGCCAGTGTCTTCCCAGCTCCCTCAGCCTCATGAGTCATCCCATTCACACAGCTTATGATTGGCAAACCATGCATTCCTTCCCACCCTTCCCATCATTATCAATGAAAATAGGGTTTGTGTCCCTCCCTTTTTCCTACAATATCCTTCCCTAGGAGGATGGCCCTGAGCTACCTTGTCTAATAAAGAAACTTGACTCAGAGTTGTTGTACATAGCATTTTATTGAGCAGATATCTTTTCTCAATAAAATGCTATGTATCTTAGACAATGAGTAGACAGACAGCAGAGAGACATGTACAAAGTGCTTTTGTGTAGCTGTGCTACAGCTGATGCATGCCTATCTGACCAGACCAGCTGCAGGACTTGGGCACTTCAGTGGCTGCAGTCACACATGGCTGGGTGCTTTTGGAGCTGCACCTGTAGCACAGCTGGCTGTTGATTCCAAATCGGGATCAAAGTGAGTGTACTGGCGAAAACCATCCATAAGCCTCATCAGGAATTCATTTGGGGATTCCGTGTGTTTTTTAACAATCTCATATACCCTGTGAAGGTTTCACAGCCTTTGCTACTCCTAGTTTGAGGCCATGAATTACAGCATTTCTTGCTGCTTTCAGTAGGCGGGCCCCAGCAAGCTTATTAGGATTGGGATCAATAACCCGGGTTATGAGGGCTGCTGCTTCAGGCCAATCAACTGTTCCATTGCCATTGGCTATTTGTTGAACTCTATGAGTAGTATACCAGGCGTAGGTCTTAGCAAGAGCCTGGGATTTCTTATATTCACTTAGGAGGCTGCTCAGAAGAGTGGTGAGTAATAATGATCTGTTGGATCAAGTCCAGGTACTTCTAAAGGGCCTCTTGATATGGTGGAAGATCTTGTTTCCAGTTAAATAAATCAACAGTGGGGAATGGGGTATGGGCCAGAACTAATTTATTTCCCATTGGAAGCTCCATTAAGGGGAGAACTTTCTCCACAGGTTTAGGTGTAAAGCGATCTGGGGCACTCCCTGTGTGGTTTGTTTACTTACGGCATATTGGAAATCTATAGATAATGTTGTTTGGCATTTTATTGCAGCTGAAAATTCTGCTATCTTGTTTGGTATTCTGGTTGAGGAACATGCATTTGTATCCTTAGTAACCAAGCATGAAAGTACTAGAATTGCATTTGACTGTCAAGTTTGGATGGAGATTAGTTTTGTGCTCACAAGGCTTGTGAATTAGTAGGATATATGGGAAAATATTTTCCCTGGGTAAAGTACTGGAGTAATATATTTCAAGAAGAGGAAGTACAGGTCACTGATATTCTTTTGTGATTATGTCAGCAAAGGATTGTTTCAACATGAAAAATCTCAGCACAGAGATACAATACAGCCCACATACCATTAATGAACAATGTACATAAAATCCATTGTATCCTTGTAATGCTGGCTGCTGAAGGACATACTAAAAAGAAGGACTTAACTGTGCTTTTAGGAAGTACTCAGAGTTCAGTAAGGCCCCAGAGGATGTAGCCTCTAAGAAGACTTCTCTCTAGTTTTTCATTAACATGAAGACTGCACTTCTATCATGTACCAGAGATGTAAGAGGTTGTCTCAGGTTGATTTTGAGATTTAAAATCTCTTTTAGCCTTTCTAACAGCACATTCACTTTTTATAGAATTTTGTGTTACAAACATAGCACTTTGAATGTTACAGGATAGCTATTATGAGTTCTGAAACCCTAACGTAATGTAATGCAAGAGCGTCTCCTGTTCATGGAAGAATTGAATGATTTTATATATTCTGCCTGTTTCTACATATTATGCCAAACAAATCATTGGGTTTCAACTCTCAGAAGTCCCATTCAGGATGGCTTACCATCAGGAATCTGGCACCATCTGAGGATCCAAGATCAGGAAAGGCTGGTTTAAACATACATGGATTACTGCATCGTGAACAAAACCTCATTACTGACATACCTTGCTATCTCTCAACTGTTACTGGCAGAAGAGACATGGGAAGGATGTCTGGTAGACGAGATCAGTGGTTCTTAACCTTTGTTACTCAGATGCTTTTGAACTGCACCTCCCAGAAACCCCAGTCAGCACAGCGGGTGGTGAAGGCTTCTGGGAATTGCAGTCCAAAACTCCTGAGTAACCCAAGGTTAAGAACCAGTGGACTAGATTGTCTTTGCCTGGAATCTAAGGGAGTTTACTTTTCTTTTTCTAAAAAAAAAAATCCTGTCAAATCGTTCTGGAATACTAATAGTCTTACAATGTGGGTGACAAATGGAATTATGCTATGATGTATTTATTGGTAGTAGGAGCTGTTTTGATTTTTAATATGCTGCTGTGGGTCATGCACATGTAAATTGTGCACATGTGAAATAAAACATGCCTATTGAGTGGATTGAACTCAATGCACACAAACCAATTGTAAAAATCAAATCAAGCATTGCTGTTTTTATATAGTATATATGAAACTAAACAGAGTAAGAAAAAAACAATGGGGCACTAACTATGTCTTCTTAGTTGAAGTCTAGTTCTGAGGGTGAAGAAGGGAGGCATTGATTTGAATTTCTCCACCTGTCAGGCATTTTCAAAATGGCTGGGTATGTAGCTGCTAATCCAGTGATGTGAGCCATGCACTCCTTACCCAGTATTTGATGTGTTGATACAATTTGTATGTGATGTATGTAATGATTGTGTGGCCCAAATGTTTTTTGGGGGGAGAAAAAATAAGACTAGCTTTTCTTCCCAGTTGCATAATAAACTTCTGGAGACAGAGCGTCAACTTGGAGAAGCACATGGCCGGCTAAAAGAGCAGAGGCAGCTGTCTAGTGAAAAACTGATGGACAAGGAGCAGCAGGTGGCTGAACTTCAGATAAAGCTTTCACGGGCTGAGGAGCAGGTAGGAATAATATGCAAGATTTAATTCTTGCTCACATTTAATTTATGTTCTGCTGTTGGTAACTTTTCTTTCTTCATGGACTCTGTGACTCACACAAATGGGTTTGGCATCTGCACAATGCCATTTTTGAATGCTCCATAGCTTTTCACATTTCCCTCTCTTCATCACAGTTGTTCTAGAGCATTCAGTAGTGTTCCAAATCCCTTCTTGCCTGCTGCACTAGCAAGAATCAAAGGAACACTCAGAAAATGACTGTATTTTTCTCTCTATGTAATTTTCATTACTTTTTTCTAATTCCTGTCCTTTTTAACTTTTGTTAGCTAAATATTAAAACAAATTTTGCAGGGCTTTAAAAATTTTAGAATGTCACACCAGTCAGTCAAAAATTTCACCAGTCAGCATGAGCGCACGATAGCCTTGCAATTTATGTTAATAAATATAAACTAGTCACATGTTCACTTTTATTTCCACGTAACAATGCGTACAAACACAAAATAAATTGTATTACGTACATGGGAATAACTGATTTATACCCCCAGACATGGGTTGCTTTATTACCTGCGTGCCTGTGGGGACATGAAGCTTGTATTTTGAATGCCTTTCTTTTGAATGTCTCCAGTAAAAATAAAACTGAAAGTAAAAGCACCCAGTCTCTTAAGGAGCCACGGTTCCCTCCCACCCCAAGATGTGTCCTTGTTTGGTTGAAATTGGGAGCAGGGAATCTCCATATTCTCCAGCGTGGGACTACTCTACATTCTCCAGTTCAAGTGGCACATAGAGCTATATCTCTATGTGCCACTTGAACTCTCTTCTCATATAAAGAGGGCAGTTTTCCTTTTGCGATGGGAGTGGGGAAGGGAGAACTGCAGGATTAGAGAGAGAGAGACAGGCTCATCTGGCATCATTTTTCACTCGTCATAGACAGGTGGACGAGTGCATTTTTCAAGTCCTGAAAATTTGTGTTTTTTTATAGGTAGTACAGCTAGCTTTGTCATTAATGGACTGTTTATGACGTCTGCATCCATTTTCTATGGGTGAAAAAACTAAAAGAAAAAAGATCAAGCAGAAACAGATCCAAAACCTAAATGACCCTAAACTTTCAAGAAGTAAAAATCAACCCCCCTCAATACCAATAGCCTTATTAGCATTGCAGGAACCAGTGCAATATAAAGAAGATTTGGATTCATCAGAAGGCTCAGCCAGTTCATCTCTGAATTTGCCATCTCTCGTGGTTTGCTCCCCTGATTCTAAACTCATCATTCAAAAGGCTAGACCCCTACAGTTATGATTCAAGAAACCACCATCATGAGTGTCAGACTCAGTGTTTAGCTGGGTCTAACATTTGGGATCAATACCAGTCCGCTTATCTCTACTGCCTGTTCTCCAATAATCTTGGCAAAAAGTATCCTCTGTTTCTTCTGTTTCTCCTACCCCATAGGAGAATAGAGAACCTATATAGGATATAAGAAAGAGGAGGAGCATTTCTGCCAAACTCTATTGCAGTAGAAGCAACTCAAACCAAAGGTAAAATAAAAGTACATTCAACCACTATAAAGGGACGGAAACTAGACTCAGTGGGTCACTGTTTTCGTTGCTCAGCTGCCCTCTTTGTACATGTAGGTTAAGAAACAAGCAACAAGGTAATAAACTGCTTAGCAATTTATCTGGGAGAGTTTGGAACCTCTTCTGAATTACCTGCTGGAGGACTGTAAAACAATAGCTCTCCTTTCAGCAGGAGTCACTTTGCTTGCATAGGAACAAATGCCTTCTGTCTGCTGATCGGATAGGTGATGTCTACTGCCATTTCCTTTGTAAGACATGCCTGGATCCCTTCAGTAGCAGTGGCTGACGATTCTAGGTGTGGAATAGAAAATGTTCTGTGTAATGATGAAGGCTTATTCAGCAGTCAAATGGATGGAGCTATGGATGAACTTTTTAGAAAAGGATTACAGCAAAGGACATACAGTACATCCTTTGAGACAATATCCAGTATCCCCATGGTCATTCTCATTGCTGCTCACAATCTTAGTGTCACCGTCTTTTTGAGTCCTAACCTAAACCCTAAAAAGGGTCACCATATGTCTGAACTGACTTGTTGGCACATGATAATGATAAAAATAAAGAATAGACACAAGAACAAGAAGAGTGACTGTTTTGACTAAGTTGTTCTTTTGGGAATTTTCACATAACACCATCAGTAAGAAAGTTCACCAGTCATACATGTGTGAGTCACAGAGACTGCAAGAAGTTTGCTTACCTGTAAAGGTCAGTGTTTGAGTGGTCATCTGTAAACTCCCACAACCCATCTGTCTCCCCATGGTCACATCCTGCTTCCTTTTCAACTGGCAATAGGGACTGAAACTTACACTGTTGAGTATGTTAGAACATGCATGATGAGAAGATAAGGAGACAAAACTGAAAAGCTACTAAACCTTTGAAGACAGCTCTCTGTAGGTGCTGAACCCACAGATGACCACTATTCATATTCTTGGCATGTAATGTATGTCAAATATCAATTAAATGTGCAATTTGCCTACAGAGAGAAGATGGTGAAATCTGTTGAGCACATTTAATTTCAGTGGAATTACAAAGATATAACCATAACAGTTTGAAATGTTACATACAGAACTACAATAAAGGGAGAGGGGTGATAAAAAAAATAGAACTGGCTGCTACAAAGAGGATAAATGGTCATAGAAGTTCTTTACAGGGCTCTTGTCAGGTTGTTTGAACCGAGAGCAGTAGTCCACCTTGAAAGGTGTCAGCAGTCAATAAACTCTCAGCAGTCTCTCCCTTCTGCTCCCATTCCAGTGCTTCTTTGGGACTTCCTGTATTCTTCAGTTATAGCTACAATGGGGGGAAAGCAGAATGGTTAGTCTTAGCTAAAGAACTCTGACTTCCAAAAATCTCTTATTCTGTTCCTTGTCCTCCCTTTCCACATTGAAGACATAAAATGTAGGTAAGATGATACCTTTGATGATACCTTTTAATGGATCAATGTATTGGTCCTCATCAGTTAAACTACAAATCTGTTAACATTTATTTTTCCTGAAAGCTTTTCAGTTCAGTTAGGAAATGGTCTCTGAGTTTTGCTTTAACTAAAAATATGGAGTACAGTAACAGGATATTTTTGTTACTGCTATCTAACATGCAGCATCTAAAAATTCTGCTTATATCAAAATCCAGCAGATTATTTTTTACATACAAGTTTACAGATGGGAAATACTATAGTTAATTACATAATTTTATTATAGCGCAGCCCTTGCTGGTGTGAAAAATTTATTTGATGATGAAATGTTTATTGTCTATTAAATACATGGTTTAGAAAATAGTATCACAGGTTTGTTATAAAATGTTTTGGTATTAGAGTAATTGATAAAACATTATTAAAATACTGAATTGTGCTTATTAGTTTTCAGTCAACAGTCTGTGACTATTTTTCTAAGCTAAAGGAGAAAGCAGCAAATGCAACTGAATTGCAGCATCAGATAGATAAAATGAAACAACAGCATCAGGAGCAGCAAAATCTTCAACAAAGCACAACAGCAAAGCTGCGAGAAGCCCAGGTATGCTACTGGGAGAGTATCATGTTGCCAACATGCACAATTACCGGTAGATGGTAGGGTAGCTCGGTGAGTTAGACATCTGGTTGCAGAGCCCAGAGGTTGGGAGTTCAGTTCTTCACTGTGTCTCCTCTGATTAGAGCCAGCCTGCACAGTGTCCAGATGCCTCTAGAAGAAGGGAATGGTAAACTACTTCTGAATACAGTGGTGCCTCACACAACGATGTTAATTGGTTCCAAAAAAATCAACGTTGTGTGAAACATCGTTCTGTGAAACACCATTTCACATAGGAATGCATTGAAAACCGGTTAATCTGTTCCAATTGGAATGGATTGCCATCGTTCAGTGAAAATCCCCATAGGAAACATCCCTCCTTTCCTCACTGCCACCAGTGGATTTCCTTTATCCACAATATATAAAGAACTTTAGTCAGACACTTGTCTGGTTATTGCCACCAGAACTTATTTATTGTATTAAATTTAATCAGAATCACATATGTTCTTTATTCAGTGCATACAATCAAATCATTAAAATGTCATATATCTTGCCACATTACCAATCACCACCTGCTCTATTTATCTTGACCAGCTTATTTCTATTAGCATCAGTTCTCACTATCTCCCTGACTATCTCTCTCTCTCCCTCCAACTTTTATTTCTTTCTTATCTCTTCTGCCAAACCTCCTTATATCCACCGACTCTGCCCCTCCACTCCTCTCATAGGCTCATGCAAATGAGATCCTGAACATGAGTGACAGGAGTGACATGGGGCATTCGTCACACCCTGTTTCTCTGAAAATAAGACAGGATCCTATATTAATATTTACTCCAAAAAACATATTAGGGCGGATTTTCAGGGGATGTTTTATTTTTTTCATGTACAGCAATCTATATTTATTCAAATACAGCCAGGTCATCTTCTTCTGGTTGCTGCACAGTGGTGGAGGGCAGGGTTTCACTTAACTGGGGCTTATTTATTATGGGGGTAGGGCTTATATTACGGCCATCCTGAAAAATCATACTGCTGCTTATTTTCAGGTTAGGTCTTATTTTCAGGGAAATGGGATATTAACATGTACAACATATTTATTTATTTAAAACATTTATATCCTACTTTTCCTGTTGCTAATATGCCCTTGTTTCATATTTCATCAATTGTGGACGGAAGGCTGTCCTCAACAAGGATGAGGGCATTTTCCTTGTATCTACTTTTGAGATTTATGTTCATTTGGAAGTTTTGTAGGTGTGCTCTTTCCTATATTAGTGGTAGCCTGCAAAATGTCTTGTGGCCTTCAGAAGTGTCATTAACAAATTGGGCTTTTTTGTATTTTTCTCATATCGAAACTATTTTGTTCTGCTGTTGCTGTTTTAATTAGTCCTTCATATAAAATCTCAGGGCAAACGTTAACTATAATAAAGAAATACATGTAAGTATTCCATAATTATTTGTAATTATTCCTTCCACACAAGAATGATTTGGAGCAAGTACTACGTCAGATTGGTGATAAAGATCAAAAAATCCAAAATCTTGAAGCTCTGCTACAAAAGAGTAAGGAGAATATCTTGTTGCTGGAAAAGGAAAGGGAGGACCTGTATGCCAAAATTCAAGCTGGTGAAGGGGAAACAGCAGTTCTTAATCAACTACAGGAAAAGAACCACACTTTGCAGGAGCAGGTAAGAAGTTTCTGACTGAAATTCTAAGTTTATTAAAAAGAATGTTACTGCAAGGTCCTAAATAAAACATTATAAAATAAATTTATGTTCTTTGATCCATAAAAGGTGCTAGGTGAAACTGTGAAAATGTGTGGGAACTGTAGTTTGGACATTTCAAAGATCGGCTTTATTTTATGCTCATTTGTTGTCTGTAGTTGGGAAGAGAGGAAACATTTCATGTTAGGTCATTAGTTGATGGAAAATGGAGGGGAAGCAAACCCAGAGATTTATGGTAAGTATTCTGCAGTCTGGGGAGAACAATATGTACTATATAGGTAAACACAGAAAGGTTGGCAGGGGTGTCCCCCCCAGAGCATTGCAATGAAATATTCAGGTTAAGAGCTGTAGTTATTCTGATAAGACCATGTAGCCTAACAGGAGAAGATAGAGAAAGGGATGAAAAAAGTGTCTGTCAACACTTCTCTTAGGAGTTAGCTGTATGGAAGTGTATTATAGTTCCTGAGTAGACTCTTTTAAAAATTTAGTGGCCTTTCCAGTTTTTCTACAGGCTGCAGGAGTACTCTGGAGTTTAAGAGATATTGTGGTGGTAGACAGAACTGTGTACAGAATCTATGCGACTTGTAATAAAAAAATGTAATCATTGTTATGTGAGTACCTGGATTGGGAAGCTGGTGCATGCACTGGTTCCTAATCACTGTACTTGTGGCAAAGTACATTATTTTAGAAATGCATGAAAGCATACATAGAGTGGCTCCCTAGGTTGTTGTAGCACCTCCAGGGATGGAAAAAGAGCAGATAAAAACCTTGCCTTCTACTAAGAAAGCAGAAGAAGCTTATAGGTTATTCATAATCATATATACCATATGTAATTAATTGACTATTTGTAAATGGTGTGGCAATTTCATCCTTTCCAGCTGCCTGTATGTATGTATATTTGCAAGTAATAATCTTAGGTTTGTCAAATGTATAGCTGCGAATGCATGATTGGTATACCTGTGTAGGCTGTGTTAGACCGAGGGTGAGAGCAAGATTCCTCTCATAGGAGTGCCGTCCCTCCAGCCTACCTCCAAGAAAGAAGCCAGAACCTGTCAATTCCCCCACCCAGGAAGACAAGACCACCTGGACCAGACCTGGGGAGGCTAGAGAAGGATTTGAATGAAGTAATGGTCAAGGAGACCGGGACTGTCTTGGCAGGACGGGGAGAAAAAATGCAGGAAGTAGTGGAGGAGGGACTTGTGGATATAAAAGGAGGGGAACGAGAGCTACCCATAGGCTGGGAGTGGATATAGGTTGGACTGGAAAGGTAGAAAAACTGAGGGTCCCGGAGAAGGAGAAAACTCACCACTAAACCATGATACTGGGGTGAGAGAGAGACCAAGGAATGACGGAAGAAATTAAGACATGAGAAGCAAAAGGTTGAAAGAGAACGAAGGGAGAGATTAGAATGGAGGATGTAGGAGATGCAACGGACGGGACCACGGGAGGACCCTGCCAGATGGGGGAACCCTCCAGGGAGTGTGACTGGGTGGACTAGCGAGAAGAAGACACCATCCCCTTACTGGAGGGGGAGACGGGAATATTATTAAACCCGGGTACTCCACCTGAATGGCCAGGACCTTGGAATGTTCAGAACGGAAACCCCTTTAAATTTGATGAACAGAAACCCCTGGTAGACCTATTGTCTGATGGGGAGAAAGGTTGGAATACGTTTGCTGACACAGGATTTTTGTTAAACCACATGTTACCCCTATTTCGAAGCTGAGGAAGTCTGGTTATTTATTTGGGGCTGACTTGGAGCCGAACATCGAACCCTCACAGGGTGGGTGTTAGAATGGTTGGCAGATGGGTGATGGGCTGCTTGGCGCTGAGTTGATTGGTTGGTGTGTTTGAAATGTGAGTTAATATTATGTGAAGTGGCAGTTAGTAAGTCAATCTTTTTTGAAGTAGTTAAGAGAAGAAGAGCCTATTAAAGAGTGTGGAGTCTGTGGAAATATTTGATAGTGAGTTTGGATGTAGGGGAGTAATTTATGGGTAAGCGTGTATGAATGTATGGCTGAACTCCTGTTGTTTAGTGTAGTAAGTTGTAACTAGAGTAGGCCTATTAAATGAATGGCACTTATAGAGGAGTTGACCAGTCAAATCTCTAATTCAGTGGGCCCATTCTCGTTGTAACTTGCTGCACTAAGTAACAGGATTTCAGCCTATGTATACAGTTGTTTTACCCTTCAGCCTAAATACTGAAGAAATTGTCTTTCTTGTTCTTCTAGTTATATATACTTCTCAAATAAGTTCCTTTTGGTTTTGCCTGAATAAGACTCTCCTTATTATGTTTATTTCTAAGTATAACTTTAAGAAAGATATTTAATCATGAAGAAACAGAAAGTATAATAAACACTTCTATGCAGGCCACACTGAAGAAGAAGCCAGAGTATTCACTAAGTGGACCTTTTCCACTTCTGTCAAAATACATGCCCCAGCAGGGACAAGTGGGACAGTTAAAGGCATACTCCCAAATACTTCTGGAAAGTTTTTGGGTGGTTTTCTTTGGATTAGTGCCTAACCTAGCAGCAGTAATAAAGAGGTGACTAGGTTTAAGGTGAAGGTTCCATAGCCATGTGCAATGTCTTGGCAAATGTCATTCATTTATGTGGTAGCAGTGAAAAGAGACACTTCCCTGAGCAAGCATCAAAACGGTAAATATACACAGTATATTGCAGCAATTGCACTGATTTTTAAGTGACGAGTGATTCACAATGTTAGACTTTGTATTGATATCTTGTGATTCCTTTTCCTTGTAATTACCCATCTGTTTTGTTGGTAGGTTACTCAGCTGACAGAAAAACTGAAAAACCAGTCAGAAAGTCATAAACAGGCACTGGAGAATTTGCATGAGCAGGTGCAAGAGCAGAAGGCACATCTAAGAGCCTCTCAAGACCGTGTTCTTTCTTTAGAAGCAACTATAAGTGAGCTAAACAGTCAGTTAAATGAAAGCAAAGAGAAAGTAATTCAACTTGATTTGCAGGTAATCTAACATTATGAAGAATGATAAAAATTCTGCATGAAGATTCAGTATCTGCAAACTCAGTGACAAGAACCTACCCAGAATATGCTTCAGGAAAACTGTTTGACCTCAAACTATGTACTGTACATGGGAGCATGACATGCTGCAGTTTATTGTGACAGGAATTATTGCAGTGAACTTTGACCTCACACGCTTGCTTCTTCTTAAGTGTGGCAATGTGGAAGAGATTTGAAATGTTGGTTCCATTATCGATTACTGTGGCTTGTCATTTTGTCTTAACCCATATAACCCATCCCCCTGATAGTTTATTTGAAACAAGTCAACTTCAAACCATAGAATTTGAAACCTGGCTTGTTCTAGCAAGCCTACAGTTGAACTTAATGACCAGAATGCTGTTATTGTTCTCAGCTAAGCACTCGGCAGTAAATTGTTGCAAGTTAAGAAGTGGGTGGAGATACGTCCTGTCGGCCATAGGTTATATGTCCTGGTATGCAGTAGGAAATGTCTATGCTGGGAAGGCTTTTGTCTTATTGTAAGCAAAATAAGCCAAAAAAGCATGGTCTTTGGCAAAGATGGCTACTCATATAGGGTAGACCCATGGAATCCACACAATTTAAATAAATATTGACTTAACAAATTATAGTCATTCAGCAGGTCTACTTTAGTTAGGACTGAATGGATTTAGCCCAGAATAAAATAGAAAAAACCTCATTGCTTAATGCTGTTTATTTATTGAGTTAGAAGCTTCTCATAGATTAAGTAGATTCGTTGATTTATCTGATATCTTTTCCCTCAAAGTTTGGAATCATCATGGCACCTGCCCACCTAATCCCTGGAGCCTTATAAACACCCCCTTACTTGATACATCTATGTTCAAACGAGACGTTTGTTGCTTTGGACCAAAAAAGGAGCTGTTTTAAACCAATTAAATATATTCACCAACATACAGTGTTCCCCCCCCGTACTTGTGCACATACGACAGTAGTTGTGAATACAGGTGTTTTGTCAAATGCACAAAGGGGTATTCAGTCATGTAAGGCATATTATTTCCAATACATAATTGAAGTTCAGAGATCACTGGAACAATTGAGATCAACTCCATTAATAGGTTCCTACATGACTATAACTAGCTTTAAATGTCAACTTGGAACTCAGAAGGAGAAAGTGAAGCTTTTTTCTTTGAGTTACTCAATTTTAGTTGTAAAACTGGTGATACATCTGGGAAACTGAGCTAATTTTTAGCTCAATCAGAAAGGTTCAATAGCTTTTCTGGCTTTTGGTTTAGTGGCATGTTGTGTAAATTAGCAGACTCTTTTATATCAGACAGTTATTTGTTTAACCTGGGGAAAGGAAATATACGATTGTATAATATTTTAAATCACAATTGAACTACTTGTTTTAACTTTCTATTAAGGTAAAAGCAAAGACTGAATTGCTTTTATCTGCGGAAGCAGCAAAAGCTGCTCAAAGAGCAGATCTTCAGAATCATTTGGACACTGCTCAAAATGCATTGCAAGATAAACAGCAGGTGAGTAAAATAATAAACTCAGGAAGGTTGCTTTCACAATTAAAAGGATAATCTGATTTTTTCAAGTGAATCTTGCAGTATATTACCTATAGTATATAGTTCCATGATGCTTTTTAGTTAACTCAAAACTTTAAAAATAAAGCATAAAAGGAGAATCTGATAATTGATAATAAATCATCAAGTAAATATGGTGGAATAGAATATGTCAATTGCCCTGGACTTGTACAGACATTTGGGGACTCTTAACTGTTGATAGAGGAAGTGAGTTAATAATGTAATCCCTTGGATTTTTCAGTGGAGAAAGAATATTCCTTGATGCTTATTAGTAACTCTTATTTTGTTGTCTTTTCTTTTAAAAACTTTTCTTTTTTCTTTTTTTGGTCTTCAGTGCATGGTTGGTTTATTGCTTAGATATGGACTGCACGGGTGACTAGAATGTAGATTGGTCTTTTATGCTAAAATGTTGGACTCAGTAGGCTTATGCCAACTTGAGTTGTCCTTCAATATAATTAATAATTTTATGCTGTTAAGTCAATTCTGACTTACAGCAACCCTTTCTAGGGTTTTTCAATTTATAAAGTACTCATACGTGGTTTACCATTCCCATTTTTTGGGGCTACTTTGGGACCACATAGCAGGCTGGCTCTTCTCCTACAAAGCACAATGGGGAATCAAACTCCCATTCCCTTGCCCCACAGCCATCTGCTCTATATACTGTGGTTAACATTAGCTGCCATTATACTGGCGGGGGGGAGTTCAAAATATTTCCAATACAGTAATTTTTCCAGATTTTTTAAACCTCAAGTAAAGAAACAAACAATGGAAGAGGCTACTCTGGTTCTTTAAAACAATTATTAGCAAAACTGATATTAAGATCATGCAACTGATATTAAGATCATGAAAATGTTTGGTGCGATCTGCTAAATCTTTTTTTCTCATCATGAAAATGGTGCATTCTGCTAAATCTTTCTGTTCTGTTCTTTTTTAACATAACTGAATCATTTTAAAAAATGAGATGGGCTTTGAAGCACAAACTTTTTCACTCAGAAAGCATATGATATTTTCATAGTATAACAAGATGGGCTTTTCTAAAATAATGTTTCTCAATGTTTATTAATAGGAACTAAATAAGGTCAGTATTCAATTGGATCAAGTTACTGCCAAGCTTCAAGAGAAACAAGAATACTGTGCTCAGTTGGAAGTCAGTCTTAAAGAGTACAAAGAGAAGCATCTTCAGTTAGAACAAAAAACAGAAGAACTGGAGGGTCAGCAAATGGTTTGTATTGAAGAGCTTTTTTTTGTTTACTTGTTCTTATTTTATAAAATTAACATTGGCAACATGAGGATGGTGTTGGGGCACATTGGAATTTTTCTGGTTCCAAAGGTATTACTAATTCTTTCTCAGCCTATTTACAGTTGCCACTGAAAGTAAAAGGAAAAAGAAAGAAAGAAGAGCTATCTTAACTGCAAGGAAAGGAAAATATTGTTTCCTGACAATTTTGGGAAAAAAAAATAGAAAAACATCAAACCAATAGAGAATACATTACCATATTAACATTCAGTGTGTAGGAAAATGGAAGGACTGAGCCTACTAATTTCAGCATTGGCTAAAATCTAGCAGTAAGTTGTAACTAGAGTGGGCCCATCAGTGGAACTTAGGTATCAATTCGCCAATTCAGTGGGCCTACTCTGATTGTGACTTACTACTGGATTTCAACAGTAGTTGACTTATTACTGGATTTCAATATTTATGTCAGTATACCTTCCTGTTTTACAAAGATTTATACTTTCGATCATTAAAGCATAAGCTAATATCAATGTTATGTAGAATTGCTTTTATTTGTGAGGGGTAAGTTAGGTTTGACAGACTTTAGAAGTTTAAAGTAATACTTTTTATAAAGCTGACCTCTGTGCATTTCGCAAAAATCCTCTAGCATAGCTATACAAATGGTGTAAATTTTGGCGCTAATTGCCCTGAGAAGAAACCACTTTAGACATTATCAGCTGCATACTGAATCATACAGCTCATTGTCCAACTGATAATTATTTCTTTATTTGGAGCAATTTGCCTCCACAGTTTACACATTTATGCACCCAGCCAAGCTATGTAAGAGATTTGGGCCAATGTATGTCATACGCCTTTTTTTAAAAAATGGGGACTGGGAACATCAAGTGTGAAAATAAATAAATAAACAATTTCTGTTCAGTAACAACAAAAAGAGAAAAATGTGTTTTCAAAATTAAAATTGGCCTTAAGTGGTCACTAAGTGTCAGCACCATTTGCTTCTGTAGTTCTGGGTAAAATCTTTCCCCGATTTATCATTTTTGTTTTGGTAAATTGTTTCCTGTTTTCTGAGCTGCAATCTGGATGAGCAGGAGATTCTTTCATGAGTCGTGTGAAAGATGGCCCATACCTTATATTCACCTGGAGATATTGTTCTCTGCCAATCCTGAAGAGTGGAAATTAATAGTCAAATTGAAGTTGAGCTCCTTCTTTGATTGTGATAATTTAGTCTATTGTAATTACTTGTTTTCTAAAATCTTTTCTTACAGAAACTTGAAGCTGACATTTTTGAAATGAAAGGAAATAAAGAAAAGGCACTTCAGGAGCTACTGCATCAAAGACAACAATGTACAGACTTAAGTCTCAAAGTTGCAGAATTGACCAAACAGCTAGATGCGGAAAGAGAAATGTATGCTTAATCTCCTAAACATAGTACTTTTAGGCGCTGTATCCAGATCTTAAGGATGCCCAAAGATTTTGGCAACAGACTGTTTCTTGGGTGTGACAGAATCTATTATTAGGCTGTTAATTCACAGTTTTAAAAATTTGTTTTATGATTTTCCTTTTGATTTCTAAGTTCTAACATATGACTGTAGCTATTGTATCACTCATCTATCGGGTACTAATGTTAACATTACTTAATCTTACCATAAGTTAACTAAGATAAGATATGGACAGCTCTTAGAATAATTTAAATGGTACATATAAATGTTAGTGTTACTGCAATTCCATGCTGAACTATCTTCATTTCTATGTTTTGTATCTGTATAGAATATCTAGTACTAAATTAGACCTTAAGAAGAAATGTGATACTCTAGAAGAAGCAAACCAACAGATATTGAAGCAAGAGGAAGAAAATGCAAGACTGAAATTGGATGTTGAGAAATTACATCAAGATGCAGCTAGATATCACAAGGAATTAGATGGAAAGCTGCAAGCAGTGTCAGAGAATTTGAAGAAGGAGAAGTTGGAAAAGGAGAGCCTATTAAAGGAACTTGAAGTCATCAAAGATAAACTGTCAAAGAGTACTGAATCTTTGAAAGAATCAAAAGATGAACTCGAAAAAGAGAAACAGAAAGGCAAGACAGCAGTGGCAGAAATAGTGAGTGACGAATCTGAAATAAAGGTTTTGTTTAACTGGCCTTCACCTCTATAAATACTAGCTATGCTCTGCTGCCTGAAAATTTGTGCTCCTGTGCGCATACATTAAATTTAGGATTCCATTAATTAAATGTATATATTGCCCTGTATTTGTATGGTTATTTTTGAGTGTTGGACATCAGCTTGTATTGGACACGAATCTGCTCTTAAGTTTTGAACAATATTGGAAAGAACTGAGGTGTTCCTGTTTCTGTGCCTGAACAGTGCACTGCATCTGGTGGTTTCTAGGTCCAGGAAGTTGTCCAGATCTCCTGTGGTCCATGTATTTCATGGTCAGATTCTTGATGTTTAATTTATGCTTGCAGAAACGTGATAATCTTAGTGGCAGGAGGAGATTTTAGTAATTAAATATGAATTCCTTCTTCTGTCCCTGTGACTTATCTAACTCTTGAGTAATCCATTTCATTTCATGGAAGCTATGGTTGCTGTAGAATGAAAAGAGCTGGTTTTTAATTTCTAAAAATCTGTACTTGCATGTAAAATTATCTAGCAGTGGAGATTTTCGCAAATACTTTTCCCTTCCTCTCCCCTACAAGCAATATCATCAGTACTATGTAGGCATTTAACTCAAGCAACAGGATTTTGGCTAGTAGTATTTGTACTTCATGGTGTTAAATTTGTGACTTGAGTAACCAACATCATGGCATCAGATTCTACAACTCATGGCAGTTCCTGTTTACATAATACAATGAATGCTGATGTTTGCCACTGAATTGGATTTATAAGAATGTTAGAATTCATTAATGATGTTTTGTAATGTTTTCCACTCGCACTGACATACATTTTGGAAATGAAACAAAAATGCTCACTAGATATTCTTTCTTTTACACAGGAGAAATCTTGCCAAGAAGCTAGACGTCAGCTTCAGCTACAATCAGAGTCTGTAGCTAAAGAACAAAATGAACTGAAAAACTCACTGGAAAAGCAAGAAGGGGTACTTCTCCCTGCTTGGCCATAATCATGAAAAGCATGGAATTATTGCTGTATGACAGAGGTTCCCAACCCCTTGCCCGCAGCCTGGTGCCGGTCCGTGGCCTGAGCCGGACTGGGCCGTGGGGACAGACCTCCCGCCCCACCCCTGCACAGCTAATCTGCACATGCGCACACACTCCAGCGCGCCCGTGCGAGTGCCGCACCGCCGTTTGTACATGCGCATGAGGGCACCCCTGCACAAGTGCCATGCCACTGTTTGTGTCTGCACATGCACACATGTTCATTTGCACGTGCGCTCAAGCGAGAGTGCTCATTAGCGCATGCACATGAGCGCGGGGGGTGCCCTGCCTTCCCCAGCGGGTTCACGGGGTGAAAAAGGTTGGGGACCCCTGCTGTATCAGATAGCTTTGATAGTCAAATCTTGTAGAAGGGCAGAGTAGTTTTCACTGTAGTCCACATATGAAACAGGTTTCACTCAAGAAAATAAAATATTCCTAGATTGTATAATTTTGTAGCTGTTTATCAAATACAGGAAGTAGAGTGCATACCTACCTTTGAAAGTTTGTAGTGTTTTATTTGTATATATAATAATTGCCTGCTGTCAAGTTGATTCTGACTTGTGGCAACCTCATCCAGAGTTTCCTTGATGTGTAGAGGTAGTTTATCATCCCCTTCTCCTAGGGGTGCTCTGGAACAATGTGGCTCGACTAGAGCTATATAGGCTAGCTCTTCTATAAGGCACAATGAGGAAGCAAACACTTGGCCTTGCAGATTATTAGAAAATGCTTCAGCATGCTTTGATTATATTGTATGATCAGGGAAATCTCTACAAAATATTAATGTAGGAGGAGGAATATTTAAATAATGACAAGTAGGAATTAAGTTAATAAGTGGTATTGCCTTTCTGCATGTAGATTTCCAAGCATCTAGCAACAGAGCTTGATTCAGCACGTGCTCAAGTCTTGCAGATTCAAGGTGTTCTGAAAGAAAAGGAAAAGAATGAACAGCAGTTACAGTTGAAGGTGAAGGAACTGAAGGAATCATTTGACCAGAAGAAGAAGCAAAATGAAACACTTCAAGCTGAACTAAAAACAGCCCTGTTAGAAAAGGTAATCATTATGTGCAATTACCAGACATGGTGATGAAATTTGCTGTAGTCCACAATATGGAGGAAGCTTCTACGAGATATGAGCAGATAAATTAAATTGATGCAGAAATTTTCAGTATTCTGCTTGGGCCAGTTTGGTGCTCTGGTTAGTCTGTTGAAGATGGATGAATCTCACCAGGGCCTGATCCATTACAATAGTTGCCAGTTTATTAACCATACTTAAAAGATTAGGACCATCCTGAAAATTCATGCACTGCTTGCATGGAGTTCCTCATTGTTTTTCCCCCTGACCTTATCGTGATGAAGTATTTGCACTGATTAAAGACAAATATAAGTGCCTTGAGATTTGGTTAAGTGAAGATTGATAACATACAGTAAGATGAAAAGGAAAATACACCATCTTTAAATTCTATGGTTTTACATATCAGGACATAATAAAAATCATCTGCTCCTTAGCCAGTCTGTAAGTTAGGTAAATACACTTGTACTGCTAACATGTGCTGGGTAATGGAGAAAGCCAGAGAGTTCCAGAAAAGCATCTACTTTTGCTTCATTGATTACGCAAATGCCTTTGACTGTGTTGACCACAACAAACTATGGCAAGTTCTTAAAGAAATGGGAGTGCCTGATCACCTTATCTATCTCCTGAGAAATCTATATGTGGGACAGAAAGCAACAGATAGAACTGGATATGGAACAACTGATTGGTTCAAAATTAGGAAAGGAGTATGACAAGGCTGTATATTGTCTCCCTGCTTATTTAACTTATATGAAGAATACATCATGTGAAAGGCAGGACTGGATGAATCCCAAGACAGAATTAAGATTGTCAGAAGAAATATCAACAACCTCCAACATGCAGATGATACCACTCTGATGGCAGAAAGTGAGGAGGAATTAAAGAACCTCTTAATGAGGGTGAAAGAGGAGAGCACAAAAAATAGTCTGAAGTTCCACATCAAAAAAACTAAGATCATGGCCATTGGTCCCATCACCCCTTGGCAAATAGAAGGGGAAGATATGGAGGCAGTGACAGACTTTACTTTCTTGGGCTCCATGATCACTGCAGATGGTGACAGCAGCCATGAAATTAAAAGACGCCTGCTTCTTGGGAGGAAAGTGATGACAAATCTAGACAGCATCTTAAAAAGCAGAGACATCACCTTGCCAACAAAGGTCCACATAGTCAAACCTATGGTTTTTCCAGTAGCGATGTATGGAAGTGAGAGCTGGACCATAAAGAGGGCTGACTGCCAAAGAATGGATGCTTTTGAATTGTGTTGCTGGAGGAGACTCTTGAGGGTCCCCTGGACTGCAGGGAGAACAAACCTATCCATTTTAAAGGAAATCAACCCTTAGTGCTCACTGGAAGGATAGATCCTTAAACTGAGGCTCCAATACTTTGGCCATCTCATGAGAAGAGAAGACTCCCTGGAAAAGATCCTGATGTTGGGAAAGTGTGAAGGTAAGAGGAGAAGGGGATGACAGAGGACAAGATGGTTGGACAGTGTCACTGAAGCTACTAACATGAATTTGACCCAACTCCGGGAGGCAGTGGAAGACAGGAGGGCCTGACGTGCTCTGGTCTATGGGGTCACAAAGAGTCGGACATGACTTAACAACTAAACAACAACAGCTGGTTCTATAGGAATTAAGAGGATAAGTAGCTTCCAGGTCCTGTTAAGCAAATGCCCTTGGGTAATTGATCATTGCCAAGTGTGCCCACCTCTATAAAAGCTGAAGTTTTAGCAGTTTACAGTTCCAGAGCATTCAGGTGTGTATTAACATAATGCTAAGGAGGAAACACGTCAGCAGTGATCATAGAGAATCAATTGTTGCTGCCTATCAATCTGGGAAGGGTTATAAGGCCATTTCCAAACAATTTAAAATCCATCATTCAATAGTGTGGAACATTATTGATAAGTGGAAAACATTCAAGAGAGTTTTCAGTCTTTCTAAGAGTGAACATCCAAGCCAATTCACCCCAAAGTCAGATGGTGCAATTCTCAGAAAAATTGTCAAAAAAACCAAGAGTTACATCTCAGACTTTACAGGTCTCAGCGTGTTAAATGTTAAAGTTTGTGATAGTACAGTTAGAAAAAGACTGAACAAATATAGTTTGTTTGTAAGGGTTGCCAGAGAAAGCCTCTTCTCTCTAAAAAGAACATGGCAACATGGCTTAGGTTTGCAAAGTTGCACATGGACAAGCCATAGGATTTCTTGAACAAAGTCGTTTGGATGGATGAGACTAAAGTGAACCTTTTTGGCCATAATGCACAGTGCCACATTTGGCAAAAACCAAACACAGCCTATCAGCACAAACACTTCATACTAACTATCAAGCTTGGTGGTAGAGGGGTGATGATTTGGGCTTGTTTTGCAGTCACAGGACCTGGGCACCTTGCAGTCATTGAGTCAACCATGAACTCCTCAGTACACCAAAGTATTCTAGAGTCAAATATGAGTCCGTTTGCCTAACACCTAAAGCTTGGCCAAAATTGGCTCATGCAACAGGACAATGATCGCAAGCACACCAGCAAATCTACAACAGAATAGCTGAAAAAGAAAATAATCAAGGTGTTGCAATGGTGCAGTCAAAGTCCAGACCTCAACCCGATTGAACTGCTGTGTGAGGACCTTCAGAGGCCTGTGCGTAAACAAGTGCCCACAAACCTCAATGAACTGATGCAATGTAGTAAAGAAGAGTGGGTCAGAATTCCTCCACATTGATGTGAGAGACTGATAATCATACAGAAAATGATTACATCAAGTTAGTGCTGCTAAAGATGGTTCTACAAGCTGCTGAATGATAAGGTGTACGTAGTTTTTCACACATGGCTTCTCCATTTGGGCAAAAAATTTTAAAAATAAATAATGACACAGTGTAATATGACATGCGTTGTTGTTCATTTGAGGTTGTATTTACTTCATTTTTGGACTAGCTATGGACAAGATGATTTTTGTTATATCCTGATATGTAAAACCATAGAATCCAAAGAGGGGCATTTTCTTTTTCACATGACTGTAGCTATGCATTTAGATTCAGAATAGTGGTGGCATGCTACAGCTTGCTTGAAGTGAAGAATGTTATATGCAACAAAACGTTAAACATGGCTTTGAGGATGTGAATTGTATGTGTATTCTAGTTACTGTTGCACGGCTTGGGATCATGGACTTTAACACGGGCTGTTATATAAAAAAGAATTTGAAATTCATAGAGATAGAAGGTGACTAATGAAGAAAATTGTAGAAAGCTAGAATAGATTATTCTTGTTATAAGAAACAAAGTATGGGTTGTTACAGTGTAACTATATTTTTGAGATAAAATACATTTTTCTAAATGCAGGGAGAACAACATACTGGCTAAAAATGTAAATACTTGTTTAGATGCAGCACATCATTGTTCAGAGCTGCCCCATCTAAAACCAGTGTAGCCATGGTGATGTCTAGCCTTCAATATGAGGGGAGACAACAGCAAGAAAAAATTCTTAAAAAAACACATACACAAAAATGTTGTGGCACTGTTAGACTGTTATATTTCAATGTGACACTTTAAAGACTCTTTTATATCTGTCCTTTTGTGGATTAGGCATTGGTGTGAGACTATAAATATTCCCCTGACCTGGTGACAATAGAGATAATCGAGAAAGTGGCAATGGTTCATTAGCACACTAATGGAGCTGTCAAACTGTACATTACTTCAGTTAGCAGATTATGTACAGGGTAGGCATAGGAAATGAGCCTGTAAGGTGACAAAAATATTATTGACAGGTTATAAACTAGGAGAATGTTCCAGATTTCAGTGAAGAGTCTCATACTTGTTAATGAATTATGAATCCCTGGTTTATGTTTAATCCTTTTGACATGCTCTGGAATTTTTGTTTGTATTTTATCTCAGATATCTCTCTAGTTTTATTTTGTTGTTATTTTTCCCCTACAACAGTTACTTTCAGGTCATTCATAGAGTATCCTGGAAGACTAAAATGTAAACCTAAACAGATTCTTGTATATTGTCATTTCTGATATCAGATTTATGTCTGTTAATTCCCGTGCATGGAGCTTGTACTGTGTCCAATATAGAATGCAGAAAGACATTGCTGATGAAGATCACTTTAGCAAATGAACAAATAAACAAAAAAATGTCATCTACAATGTTGTAGATGACATTGTTGTGGCTTGTGATTATGTTGCCAGAGTAGATGTGAGGACAGAGATGGACTCTGGATTTATAGCAGGATCTAGTTCACATCTCTATATCAGTGTTGAGTAGTCTGTTGTGTGTCAATAGCCATTTGAGATTAGAGAATTGTCTCTAAGCAAATAGAGTTTTCCCATCAAAGGCTCTAGAGAGTGAGATATTGATACTCTTGCACAGATTTATGTTTATTTATTAAATTTATATACCGCCCATCTGACCAAGAACCATGACTAACACAATTAATTCTTGGATGAGAGAAATGCTAAATTATCTTTATCCAGCGTTTGGAAACCCAGCTTCTTATTCTCACTGTGAACTTTGTAAGCTAAACATATGCTATACTGTGTTTCACTGGTAAAACAGGAAGGGAGTGAAATTTGCAGAGAAGGAAGATCGCCAAATTAAGGGAACTCTTTGGTAAGTTTTAAGACTAATAACCTGGAGTCATCTAGATGTTTTAGAGTACAGCTCTGATCAGCCCCAATTTCCAGGACTAGTGATTGAGAATTACGGAAGCTGCATGTAGGGAAGGAAATGGCACGAGGGAAGGAGCATGTAGACTTGAGATTCACTGTGGCTAATTACGATAGCAATGAATAGTGTGTTCAAACATTTGGATAAACCCATATTGAGTTTTCTTATAGTTTTCTGCATTATGCAAAGGACATCTGAAATAAGCATTATGAAATATATTTATGAACGTAGACTTGTTTACAAAAGCTCACATTAAAATATAGCAGTTAGTCTTTAAGGTGCCACAACATCTTTGTCTTCTATATTTCTTGTTTTTCTTCTGTTTTTGCTTGATAGGATTTTTTTTGTAAATTGAACATTGAAATGAGCAGTAATGATTCAGCTGGGAATAGCTACATATTTTTGTTTCCATTGTTGTTCCTTGTCACATCTGCCACGTTGTGTATAAGAAAAATCCCTTTTGTGCACATATTGTGTTAGGCAGAACTTGAGAACAAACTTCAGCAGCATATAACATTATCAACACAAGAAATTGCTGCAGAGAGAGAAAAGATAACAGAGCTACAGAAGGCCCATAAGACAACCCAAGAAAATCTGGAAAAAATTCAGCTGGATATTTATGGTAAAGAATCTGAGCTGTTAGCTACACGGCAAGATCTTAAGGTAAATTATAATGTTTCAAGGCTGTACATAAAGGGATTATTTTCAGTTTGTATAAACTTATAAAACTCTTAACTGGCACTTCAGTGAGGCATCTGCCTAAAGCTTCAGATTCTGAGTCTCATGAGAGGGCAATGCATTCTTAATATTTTAATGTACAGTGGTGCCTCGCTTGATGAGGATAATCCGGTTCCAGCAAAATCACTGTAGAGCGAAATAAAAAAGCCAATTGAAATGCATTGAAAACTGGTTCAGTGCGTTCCAGTGGGCGAACTACCTCAGCGTCCAGCGAAGATCCTCCATAGGGCAGCCATTTTCCGATGCCTGTGCAGTGAAAAATCCGTCCTGTACACAGCGGGGAGCCATTTTGAACAGCCAGCGGCCATTTTGAAAACCCAACGATCAGCTGTTTTGATCGTTGTAATGCGAAGAATCAGTTCCTGAAGCAGGGAACTGATCATCGCAAAGCGGATTTTGCCCATTAAAACATCGTTTTGCGATCGCAATAGCAATTGCAAAAACATCGTCAAGCAGATTCGTCGTCAAGCGGGGTAATCGTTAAGTGGGGCACCACTGTATTACTATTAGGATTTTCTTGTTTTCTTTTTAATTGTCAGACAGAGGCAGATGGGATTACCTGCCTCCACTGCCAAAATACGATCTTATGACTCATTTTGGAGATGGATACCATTTTCTATTTGGCCTCAGTCCCTCTCTCTCTTCTCCTTTCCATGCCCAGCAGTCAGTATTTTGAATAGGAGTTGTTCTCCTTGGACTGTTCTGCTGCGGGACTCTGACATGAACAGAACCCACTGTTTGCCCTGAGTCTGCTGATTCCTCCCCATTATACATGAGTTGTGCTATTATCACTATGTGAAAAAATATTTATTTACATATTTCAAATATTTTTATCCTGCTTTTCTCCTTAAAAAGGACCCAAGGTGGCATATATAATAAAACAATGTTTAAAGCTAAAAACAATAAGCATATAAATACTAAAAATATTTTAAAAATACCCTACTAAAAATTGTAAACAAAAGCAACACCAAAATGAGTTGTGCTATTATCACTATGTGAAAAAATATTTATTTACATATTTCAAATATTTTTATCCTGCTTTTCTCCTTAAAAAGGACCCAAGGTGGCATATATAATAAAACAATGTTTAAAGCTAAAAACAATAAGCATATAAATACTAAAAATATTTTAAAAATACCCTACTAAAAATTGTAAACAAAAGCAACACCAAAAACACATTCAAAAAAAATACCCTACTAAAATTTGTAAACAAAAGCAACACCAAAAACACATTCAAAGCAGTAAGGCACAACAATCCATTAAAAAACCCCACTCAGGCAGCCAGTCACTGAGGAAAAGCTTTGCCGAAGAGAAAGGTTTTTGCCTGCTGGTGGAAGGATAGCAAAGATGGGGCCACTCTAGCCTCCTATGGGAGGGAGTTCCAAAGTCTGAGAGCAGCAACAGAGAAGGCTGTCTCCTACATCCTCACGAAACACACCTATGAAGGTGGTAGGACCAAGAGAAAGGCCTCTCCTGGGCAGGCTCATAAAGGGAAACATGTTACTTGAGATGGCTTGGACCCAAGTCGTTTAGGGCTTTTATAGATTAAAATCAGCACTTTGAATTGTGCCTGGAAATGAATTGGCAGCCAGTGGAGCTGCTGTAACAGAGGTGTCATGTGATCCTTGTGACCAGTCCAAGTTAGCAATCCGGCTGCTGTGCTTTGAACCCACTGAGGTTTCTGGACATGTTCCAGAGGCAGCCCCATGTAGAGTGTGTTTCACTAATGCAGCTGAGATGTAACTAAGGCATGTGCCACTATGGCCAGATCAGAACAGAAATGGCATTCTTCTGCACTGAAGACCTACGTAAGCCAAACCCTTGTTGGAGTTAGACTTCATTGCCCCTTTCCATGCCTATGATGCTGTTCGTGCACATTTAGCAGGTACAGCCATGTTCCTCATCTGGTTGTAAATAGTTCTCTGAATTTGGAGATTCATGATGTTAAGATGGCTTTGTCTACAGACACCAGTAACTGTATTTGGAGATACTTTTAAGAAAGAGATGGGATGATTGATATATGTCCGTAACATGACCCAGCATTTGCAAATGTATTTCAAAATTAAGAATAAGGTAGTGGGAGTAACTGCTAAACAGGTAATATGTGCTACCAGACTTTTTTTGGGGGGGGGTGATAATAAAGTATTTGGATGTCTTAAGTCACCAATGTGAGAGTGCAGTGAAACACCAATTGAAAGAACTATCAGCACAAGTACTGTAAAGGAAACAAAAATACAACTGTAAATTAGCTGTCGATTGGACTGAAGATTTAATGGCAATTAAGTTTGAAGTGGTAGTATAAGTGATACTAATTGAGCTGTGATTATGGCACCATCTGCTGGACCATTTTGAGAAAATCATTATTTTGAATTCACATTTTATTACTTTCCTGGTTAAAGCTATAGTGAAAGCTAAGATATAGGCCAAAATTCTGTTGCTAAGCATAGTAAATCACACTAGAGTAGACCAAATAAATCAATGGGGATTTATTTATTTATTTATTATTTTATTAGACTTCTATCCCTCCCATCTAGACCAAAGGTCTACTCTGGGCAGCATTAGAAATTTAAAAAAACAGTTAGACCAATAAATATATACATAAATCGAAGGAGGCAAAAATGTAGAATTTAAGTGAGTTAGGTCCTCTCTGTTTCATTGAAACAAATGGGCCTACTCTAACAGCGACATACTGTGTTAAAGTAAGTCACAGTCAGAGTAAACCCATATGAATCAATGGAATTTATGGAGGAGGTGACTCATTAAATCCTCATTGATTCAGTAGGACTACAGTAGTGTGATTTATTATGTTTATCAGGATTTTATTAGTAGTTTTAAATAAACCATCTAGCTTTAAACAAAAGAGTGAAAAATGATGGCCTTTGTCCAGTACAAAGTTAGATATGCCTAGGTCCATTGATTTCAGTGGACTTAAGCGTGCTGAACTTGCTCTGGGTTTATGTAATTGTACGTGTAATCCTAAAAGTGGCTAATTAAAAATTACAGGATACAATTTGTTATTGTCTCACAAATAGAAATGGCCATGAACTGCCAGTTTGGTGGTTTGTGCCGATTCATTTATCGTCTGAACAGGTGTTTGGCTCTTCAAAGCTCTGCCTCCTCTGCCAGGTGTCCAGTTGGAGGCAGTGGTCTGGCTTCCCTGCCCTGCCTCCTCCTTAATGACCCTGCCACATTGATGTTGCTTATTGTTTCTGGATCTTGACAGTAAATGCAAAGATATGGAGAGAAGGCAGCTGGGTGGTTACAAATAATTTCTTAAAGTTAAATATATATTATGTAAACTGGGGAGCTGTTTGAAGTTGAGTTGTTGAGACAAATGGAATAAAGTTGCCCCCAGGAATTTTTTCCTTTTATATTTAATTTTTTTTCTTCCCACCAGTATCAGTTCAGTGACCAGCTCTTTCATTCCATCTAAGGAAAACCCACAGTTAAAATTTATTGTGCAAGATTAGAAGAACAAAGAACTTATTACCCAAACTACAGTTCAGCTGCTGTGATCTGAGCTTGTTTCTTGTAGCACAGTGTTATCTGATGCTGGCAGATGGAATAGTCCAATTTCAGTACAGTGACTAGAGACTGTGCTGTGGTTTACAAAAACACTGATGACAGGCAGTGTTTTTGAGAGATCAGATTAGCTGCTTGCTGATCTTTTACAACTGCTTTAATTGCCAGTAGCAGTTCAAGTAACTTCTTATATGGGAGCTGCTCTAGTACCCAGGTTTAGAATGAGGTGAATGTTGTAGGATTAGGGAGGGTGGTGTTTTTCTCTATGCACTGCAATTTATGTAGCAAGATCTATTCTTTTTTTCTCCATCACTTGGTTTTTATGTAAATTTAAGTTGTACTCCAATTTGATTTACATCATTTGAATATATTTTAAACTAATATAGATGAGTTGACAAATCCTTTGTAATGTTTTACTAATGTTTTATTATAATTAAAATGAAATCCTCATTCTTCATATTGGTGAATAATAACATCTTCTGTTGTCTTTCTGGCTAGTTCTTGGGTTGAAGTAATTTTTTTTAAATTAGTCCACAGAAGAGAAGCTGGCTTTAGCTCAAGAGGAATTGGTTTCAAACAGAAATCAAATTAGTAATCACAATCAGTTGATTAAAGAACTTAAGTCTATAAGAGCAACATTGGAGCAAGAGACAGCTAAAAAAGAACAACAGCTGAAAGAACTGGAGAGACGGTTGCAAGAAATACAGAAAGATAAGGTTATTGATTTTCATTCATAAAATCTCCCCTTTCTTTTTTGCATTGAAATAGAATGTTTGTGATAACTGATTATTCCATTAATTCTTTAAATATATTAGTAGGCTATTGTAAGCTTACATCTCCGCCTGCTGATACCTGCAAATGTAGTATGATCAGGACCATCATCTATATCTTTGGTAGAAAACCAAAGACCAGTATTTATTCTCATTGCAGTCATTCAGTAAGCTGATCTGCTTTTTATAAAACAATAGGATTGCCTAGAATTCTGTTTTACTATGAATGGATAAACATGCAAGCACATATTGCTTGATCCTCCTGGCATTAGGAGTGGCTAAACAAACCAGGATGGCTCTGTCTATGATTTCAATATATTGTTTGAACCTGAATACCTTCTTTGTTATTCCCCTGAGGAATCAGAATCATAAGACAACTTTTTTTCCTAGCCTATGATTCTGGCTTGTTAGGAGAGCAACAAGCCAGTGATCCTGGTTCAGCTGTAGCACTGAACAAACTATGAACAGAGCTTCCTGGTTTGTTTATTCCTGCTGGCAGGAGAAGTCAGGTGGGAACAATTGAGCAGCATGCAACAAGGCATTTGTTCATTCAGAGCAAGTTGGAAGTCATAGCAATTTTAATTTACTGTGACTTACGAATAGAGACAATGGTATTCATATTCATATATGAATACTAATATTCCCCCACAGGTGCAGATAACCACTCACTATTCGCTGCTGCAAGCTTTGCGGCGCCTTCCTATCGCTCTGTTGCTCACAATGGATTAGCCGCTCTGTGACCTGGCAGAGAGGCTCATCATCCCGCCTTCTGCCAGGAGTGGCTAATCCATTGCGAGCAACGGAGCAGTAGGAAGGCACTGCATAGCTTGCAGCAGTGGCGGAATCGTGAGAGGTAACCCTCATTATCTGCACCTGTGAGGGGATATTCGTATATGAATACCCCCAAGTCTGTTTGTGAACTGGTGACACAGCAGGAAAATATAGGTAGTAGTGGAATAATCAGAAATATTGATTCAGTGGCTGAAATTCTATTTGCCTTTGTATGATGTAAGGCTACACCTGCATATGCTTGCTGCACATTATGCCCAGGCAATGAGAATTGTGCAGTTCAACTGAGAAATTGGTTGCATGGCACCCATTATAACTGTTGCATGGGAGGTGCATGGAATTGTTTTGTGAATAGCACTTGCACCATTTTGCTTTTTACCAAACTGGTTTTACAGTTTTATGTTGCACATGTGGAGCTGTACAACAGGAATTCAGCAGTAGATCATGGGAAAAATAGCAAAATTAATCCAATTACATTAAACATCCCTGATGATCGTAAGAGGTGGCATGGATTCTGCACTGCACTAGTTAAATAGTAATTGATGGCTGTGTGATCAAATGGTAAATGTAGACACAAATTTGGACTTTGAATATGGAGTTTGGCTCCTACGGAATAGGTCTGCATGTTTTTCTCTAATGTAATTGTAATGTAGTGATTTGGATGCTGCTATTTAGTGGCATACTTAAACTAATGTTGTTGCTGTACTTCTTATGTAAGTAAAAATATAGTCTAAACGGATTTTAAAGAGGTGATTGGTCATAGAAAATTAAACTTTTTAAAATTGGCATGAAGAAGTTTCGTAAAGATACATCTTGTATTTTTTCTGTCTCAAGGATTTAAAAGAAAAAGATTTAGCTAATGAAAAATCAAAAATAACAGAGCTCCAGAACATATGCAGCAAACAGGAAAAAGAAAATTCCAAACTGAGGGAAGAAGCTAGAATCTGCAAGCAAGAAAACGAGAAGGTATGTTCAGACATGGGAGTTCCAAGCAACTAAGACTATTTACTTAAAGCTTAATAGCTACCATTATTTCCTACAATTGTGGCTTTTCCTCTCCTACTTTCTAGTTTGAGTCACTTAGAGATGTTATTGTATCATTTTCAAGAGATATTCTAAAGTATGTACAGTATTTTTTTAAAAAATACTTAATTGAAATTCTCTTGAAGATGAACAAAAGTATCTTATAGTTATAAACAGTATATTTTCACTATGTTGGGATAAAAGGATAAGCTGTAGTTTATGGCAATGTGAATTAATCTAAATTTCATGATTTTGAAGCTGGGAGAAGATTGAAAGCTTTCATTTGAAGCTGGCTTGTTCCATAAACATAGTTCAGACCAGCCACAGGTTGTCTGGATCTGTAGGCAATGCCAAATTGTGGTTAGTGAAAAAAAGAAGTCTACATTTTTGATCTCTTATGCCTCCCTCCTTGCCCGTTTCCAATGAGTCATTGTTTACCATTGCATCAAAACATAGCCACTGTGTACTGATGTTGTTAATTCTGAGAATCATAGTGGGAACTTTTTATTTGCCAGTTATAATCAGACTAAAAGTTATAAATTTTCTTATGTTAAGTAACAAGATTTCAGCCATTTCCTTTTAGAATGTCTTATTTTTCATATTGTTGGGAAAATTCATTTTGATTTACACCTATGTTCTTTGATTTTCATTGTAAAATATTACATAACTTTAACTCCATTTAAAAATATTAATACTATATGTTTTTAATAGGAGATAGCTAATCTAAAGGATGCCAAGGAACTGTTGATTAAACAGAAACTGGAGTTACAAGGAAATATAGATAGCATTAATAAAACTCTTGAACAGGAGAAAAAGAATCAAGAAGTTATCAAAGATCAGTTAAAAAAGAGAGAAGAGGACATGAAGAAGAAATTTGCTGAGATTGAAGTAAAACTGGTATGTGTGCATATATGTATATAAATGTAATATAACATATGCTTAAATATGGCTTTAAATTATGTAATGCAAATAAATACCTATCCTTTTTTTCTTTATCCTTTTGGATTGTATCTAGTGATTGGAACTGAAGTTGTTTATTTGAATTCATGATTGTTGCTTATTTCAGAATTCCTGTGAAGTCAAGTATCTTCAATTCAGCTTTGAAGAGTTAATACTGTTGTGCTTATAATACTCATAACATTCTTGAATGCATGTTTCATTGTAGTCCAGTAGGAATTAATTATAATTCAGAATTCTACTTTGTAGTACAAGTCTTAGAATTACTGTATACAGTGCAGGGTTTAGTTGTACAACTAAGTCACTGTACAGAATAATTTGGTAATGTTTATTCTGCTATAACTAGTCACTCAAAACCCCATTCTATTTTTTTTTAAATGTTTCAGCAACACCATTAGGAAATCCCTTTTCAGTTATTACAACCTAGAATATTTAACTCATTCACTTTTTAGGATGTTTTTGTGTCAAAAGAGTCTAAATTTTTTAAAAAAGAGAATCTAGGGGCTTTTATGTCCATTCACCTTCTGTAAGAATCATGTGCAGGCAGAAGTTGGGTGGAGGGTTGGGGAGGAAAAATACGAGTTTCACTGACTTCCCTTTCCCTCTGCAGTGTTCCTTGCTCCCCAACCGCCAAAACAAAAAAATAAAATAAAAAAAATAAAAATAAAAAAAAACAACAACGTTGGTTGTGGATTTTCAGAAGCTCTGTTACTGCATGAAAAGTGGCTCTGATTTCCCATGGCCAGGGATTGGTGGGTTGGATCATTATGAGCTCTTAAAGCCTTATGATTATGGAAGGGAAATTTGGGATCCAGGGTAGGGTTTCCATATTTATTTATTAATTCATTTGCACTATAATGAAAAGGTTTGGGAGGCACGTAAAAGGCAGCAGCCTCTTCTTTGTCCCTTCCTGAGTACAGTCTCTAGGGAAATAATATCCGTTCCAAGATCTCAGAGTTGTTAGAATGAGGATTGCTTATGCTTCCAATGTTTCTGTTATTGTAGCAAGATGAGATCAAAGGGAAAGCTGAGCAATTTAAAAGCCACGAGGAGGCTGAGAGCAAGCTCAGTATGCAGATCACAGCTTTGAATGAAAACCTGGGGACAGTGAAGAAAGAGTGGCAAAGCAGCCAAAGAAGGGTTAGTGAACTAGAAAAACAAACAGATGATCTGCGTGGAGAGATTGCAGTGCTGGAAGCCACGGTGCAAAATAACCAAGATGAGAGGAGAGTGTTGTTGGAAAGGTAAGTTAGTGAATGAGGCACACAAAAACAAATTCTGTGGCAATTTGTACTTTTTACAATTTATTGAGTAGAAGAAATCCCATTGTTAGGCTGGAGATGTAATTTTGTGTTTCAAAACTCAGATTCTCTGGTATGCAAGTAGAAATTGTGTATTCACAATAAACTACATAATTTGATAAAATGGGTGGCTGTTAAAATATGAAATCAGTGCCTGACTCTTGTTTATAACATGGTTATAATATACAGTAACATGCTTTAAGCAATGCATACGATTATTTATTCCTTGACTGTAATAAAGCTCTCAGGATTCTCTGCTGAAGATTGGATAAGAAAAAATGCATGGTCACTTCACATGCTTCTTAATAGCCCCTCTCATTCCCAGTTGGTTTTTCTTGTTGCTATGGTTGAAGCCAGGTTGGAATGGTAATTTTCATTATATTCATTTTCATTTATTTGATTAATTTTAAACCCAGTTTTTCACCATGTTGTGCTCAAGGTGGCTTATAGTCTTCATAAAAATATAAAAACAATACCAAAGTTTACCAAAATAAAGTTTACTTTGGAAAACCCAAAGTAGGAAGGAATCTAAAAGCCTTATTTTTCTCTTTTTTTGTTTTTGTTTTCCCAATTCATGTTTGTCTTGATGCTGTGTGATCAAACAGCCTCGTTAACAAGGCTGTGTTGAAATATTCTCTGTGTATATTACTTTTGCAGTTACATTTTAGAGATTTACTGTCTTCTCTGTAGGTGCCTTAAAAGTGAAGGGGAAATTGAAAAACTTCAGAGCAAACTGCTGGATGCACGAAGAAAACTGGATGATACTACTGCAGCCATGCAAGAACTGGGTAGAGAGAACCAGTCGCTGCAGGTATTCTATTTTGGTTCAAAAGACAGTCAATGCTAATGTAAACTTTATTCAGTTAAATGTTATTTCCCAGAAAAACATGGAAGCTTTGGGCAGAATATATGAGCTAAATATGGTGATCTGATCTCCGTGGCAGAAATGATGTGTTTATTCTCAGTGCGGAAGTTCTTGGGTTGTATTTAGAAATGAGTTATTGGGTTTGTATGGAGAATTAGTGCAGGGAAATCACCCCAGAGGGAGACCACAGCTGCGATACAAGGATATCTGCAAGTGGGATCTGAAGGCCTTAGGAATGGACCTCAACAGATGGGAAACCTTGACATGCGAGTGTTCAGCCTGGAGGCAGGCTGTGCATCATGGCCTCTCCCAATTTGAAGAGACCCTTGTCCAGCAGGCCAAGGCAAAGAGGCAGTCACGAAAGCAGCAAAATAAGGGAGCTGGACAGAGGACAGATTGTATTTGTCTTCATCGTGGAAGAGATTATCACTCTTCAATTGGTCTTCGCAGCCATACTAGACGCTGTTCCAAGTCTCCATACAGACCATGTTACCATAGTCTCTCAAGACTGAAGAATGCCTAATCACTGGGTTTGAAATACTGCATATGTTTATGAATGAGAAGGAGGATTCCCCCCCTTACATTACCAATGTTATTTTTTAATTTCCTTTGAATGGTTTCACCATGATTTGGGATTTTGATTTAATGTTAACTAAAGTTTCTGCTATTTTTTCTAATAGATTAAGCATACACAAGCTCTAAATAGGAAATGGGCTGAAGACAATGAGGTTCAGAACTGTATGGCCTGTGGAAAAGGTTTTTCTGTAACGATAAGAAGGGTATGTATGTCAGGGAATATCCTACAGAATTTCTTTTCTTAAAGCCATAAAGCAATGTTTCAAGAAAACATTTTTTAAAAGTGCATTCAGTTTTTGTTAGTATCGGAGAGATTTGTTCAAGAAAAGTATTTTGTCCCATGCACAGTGCTGTAAAAAGACTTGTCATGAGCAGAGCTGGAAGCATTTTTAGAAAGCATATTTACTTTCACCAAACTGATGATACAAACCTGTTGAACCAGGCAGGTGCATCTTCCTCCCTCATGCTCTGACAGGCAATGTTCTGATGAAGACAGTTTGAGAATTATAACACTGTGAAAGACATGGCTCTCCCATCTTCAGAGCAGACTGCTCCCAAAGAGGGTGCCCAGAGCAGGGCATTGTGGGAGGGGGTGACAGTGTTCCTACCCACCATGCCCAGGTCTAAGAAATAGCTCAGGATTCAGCATTTGGGAACTAGCAATCTCTTTGGAGACAGGTACCATCGTTCCCTCAGCCGTACTCTTAGCACTGGAATAGATGGTGGATGGCAATGGTTGCAGCAATGGTGTGTGTGTGTGTGATGGTGATTGCTCCGGAGGCAGCACAGTGGGGGTGGGTTGTAGTGATACTTTGCTTCTTGTACCAGGTTATAGGAGCGCTTGGGCCACAAGGTTCATAATGAGATGCACGTGCTTTTTATGTATGTTCACACTGGTCTGCAGTCAAAAAGGCCAGCATGATATTTGCTCGGAAACAGCTTATTATATTCCTACTGCAGGACATCCTCTGATTGTTTAGATACACCTTTTGTTGTTTTAAAAACCCAACCTCTTCTTGTCCTCTGTGCCTACATATGCATCTGTTTGCATGACCCAAACACACATTTCTGGTATTGTAGTACAATCCAGTGTCCTTCCTGGCACACGTTTTGACAGAAAATCTTTGCACACTAAACAGTTTGGTTTAGCTTTGATCCCCTACCCTGTAGCACTTTTTAAAATAGTACACACATTGCTGTCTTAATGCACTCCATTATCTATGATGCATTTAAAAATGCATGGGGGTTTTAAGCCTTCTATTTGTGGGCTTTTCTTTCCTACGCTGTTCTCTCCTAGCATGGTCTGATTTGTTCCCCCCATCCTTAACAAAAAATTTAATGCATAATTGTATAATTACTGGCCACTGTATATTATCTTTGCTCTTCCAATACTTAGCATCTTTGACATTCTTGGTTTAAATTGTAAACTATAAATTACCAGTTCATACTTCATAGCAAACTGTGAAGCACTCTAAAGATATAAATAGCAAACTGAATTGGGATGTTTTAGGGGAAGGAGGTGTGTGTGCTCCTGTAGTTCCACACTGTGGCTTGTATTGTGCCTGACCTGTATGTAACTCCTTCTCATCCCTCTGTTTACAGCATCACTGCAGACACTGTGGAAATATCTTCTGTGCTGAGTGCTCCTCAAAGAATGCCTTAACTCCTTATTCTAAGAAGCCTGTTCGTGTCTGTGATACTTGTTTCAACGACTTGCAAGGATAATTACTCACAACTCTTAAATGTCATGCTAGAATAAAGTTTCTTTTATGCACTTCATACAACACTCAGACTACTGTTGGTTTGGGCAATGATTGTAACAATTGGCAAAATTATAGTGTAGTTTATACTTAACTGATAAAGTCAAACAGTTGTACTACTTGTGAGGCTGAAGTTATCTATGGCTTATATGGTCTTGATGCTACGGGAGCTTCTGTGTTGAGTTTTAAGTCCCAAGTAACTTGTAAATAACGTTTAAGCAGAGGAGTAACAATGTATTTTTTTATCTCAAGTTGTTTGTTTGAAAGTAATATCTTTTAAAGTAAACATATTTGCAGGGATTTTGCATATGAAATATTGCTGCTGTAATGGCATAGTCACAGTTTAAAGGCTGCATTGGAGTGTAAAAGATATCTAGTATCCCCCAAACAAGAAGATTTTTTGCCTCTTTCTCCTTTCTCCCTTTCTTTGTAAGAGACACATACACTCACTGGGAGCACCACTGGCTGTGTAGTGTGCCCACTTAGTACAAATTTGCTTTGAGTTTTTTAAAACGTCAGGCTTTTTCATGACAGTGCCACTGTATATCCTCCACTGAAAATGAAAAGCAATGGCAAGATTGTTTTGTATATTTGATGTCTCTTCTAAGAATACTCTGCGTTATATGAAAATTGGGTGTGCTATATGGTCACTGATATACAAGTAGGCAGAGCAGTATTTTGCCCCCTCATACATTAAAAGTCCTTATCTTGTTTCTTTGTTAACATTTTAAAAAAAATATTCACAGGAAACACTTCATGTGTTATCCAGAAAAATAGATACATAAATTACAGTAATTCAAGATACATACAGTAGTTCAGACAGTTGGTGAGAGTCAGTGTAGTGGTGTGGATTGAGTATCAGACTCCGACTTAGGGCTAGGTACAGATCCATGCTTGGCCATAGATACTTACTGGAAGAGTGACTTTGGTAAAACTACTCCTTAAATATCTCGCATACCTTGAAAACCCTATTTGAGTCACTGTGAGTTGGATGTGAATTGATAACATACTGTAAACTTAGTTTAGAAAGTAATTGGCCATCTTGGTTCTTTCTTTCTTTCTTTCTTTCTTTCTTTCTTTCTTTCTTTCTTTCTTTCTTTCTTTCTCTCTTTCTCTCTTTCTCTCTTTCTTTCTCTCTCTCTCTTTCTTTCTTAGGTTTGTATTGCATTCCTACAGATTTAGAGTGAAATTCTCAGACTGAAAGGAAAACAAGGTATACTTACCTGGCAGGGGAGATACCTTGATCATGAAAGGGAAACAAAGTTTCATCTTGGGTAGAATCTCTTTTTTGCTTTACCTGGATATTTTAATGAGTTAAATCCCTGCTACAGCTTTTATAATACAAGGGTGGCTGAACAATTTTGGATGTGGCTATTTTATTTCAGCAATTGGATTTTGGCAGCAGGTGACATTTCCCAACCACATTGCTCTATATATATTCTTTTGATTGAGAAATGATGGCATTTTTTACCTACATATATGTATGTTCACTCTCTGTTGATATAAAAGTGATCTAGGACGACTAACATATAAGGTGACATTAAAATTAACCTGTTTGGGATTGTGATGTGTTTTTAAAATAACAATGTAATCCTTCGGCTATTTGGATGTGATCCTAGCAAGCTAAAACTGGAATACAAAGGTAGGAAAGAAAAAAAAGCAGTTTTACATCGTTATTTGCACAGATACAATGTTTCAGTAGGAGAGCATGTCCTTTGCATGCAATAGGTCTTAGAGTTCTTAGAACAGTAATTCTCCCCACTGTGTAAGAGCAGGAGGAGGCCCATCTCTTACTAAATAGCATTAGCTGCTTGGTAGTTTTTGTAGCTGCTTTAGTTCAAAAGAATTTGAACACAAACCACCTGATCTGCATCTAAATTGTAAAAGATTAAAAAGGTTTCAACTAATTGGTTGGGTAAAAACTGCAGTCCTAGAAGCTGCACTCATACACATGAAGACAGGTGGAAATGCATCTTGTTCAGAAGAAAGTATAAGGTGTACCCTAAAGTTTAGACATTTGGATGACTTCAGTGGCAACACAAAGAAACCTCAGGATGGGTAAGGTAATAGTATTGTCACTTGCACTATGCACTTTCTTTCTAGTGTAACCAACACAATATGCAAGAGATGAAACAGCAGTTTTGCAAAAACTAATATAATTAATTGATTCAGAAGGCTGGGTATTCTTAGATAATTGCTCATCAAAGTTCATGCTAAATAACTGCATTATGGTGCACAGGTATAATTGTATTCATAATTCCTGGTACCCTCAAGAGTACATATCTATAGGAAATAAATTTGCCAATTCCCTAAAATATGTGTTTGTTTTAAAATTTCACATCTTGAATATAGGCAGAGCAGTTTTGCACAGTTTCTGCTATCCAGATATGAACTTTGTTTTCCTACCATTAAGTCACAATGGATTTACTTGGATGGTCTGTTTTCCAGACTATGGCAAGAAGTAGAGAGAAAAGTCCCCTGTCTAAGAGCAGGTGTTCTTGAATTGACATTCTGTTTTCAGGAGTTTAAAAATATATATATGGTTATCAAAATTTAAACTTCCTATTTGGTAATTAAGAAAATGAATAAAATTTGTTAACCCTCAGTGTTGATAGTTCTGCCTCAATTCATTGGACAGCTCAGTATTCTATGTAGTCATTTTATAACCGGTACATAAAGACTTCACTAGGCTAAGGAGTACATACTTGATACAGTATTAGGAAATGGATACTAATATTAATATTGGGAAACTAGTTATTTCTCTTCAATATAATCAAAGAAACACCAGATTTGGTGGAATTTGCTTTCTCGGATGTCATTTCTTCTACGAGTCCATTAGAAATCCATTTTGTTCCTGGCTTTCTGTGCTGTGTGCTTCAGTTAGGTCATTCATTTTCGACCAGTACGCAGGTCTGAGTCTCCTGTTCTTCACTCTTGTGCAATGGATATTTTACCATCTTGTTAAATCCCAGATCTCAGCACCAAAGGGATAAGAGAAAAAGAGAAGTTGCATTGCGTTAGCAAACACAGAAATATTTTATAATCAGAATCTGTCCAAAATGCTGCTTGTATAGGATTTGTCACTTTTGTAATAAAATGATTTTTAAAAACATAAAAACTCCAATCTGACACTTGATGCCACTACATAAGATTTCATTTAAAACTACCTCTTGATATGAAAGTCTGTTTTGATAGGGTCTCCTCACTGTAATGTTAGGTATTGACTTGTGGTGGCTGCCAAATTTCAAAGTGTTTTGTCTCACCAAAAATGTAATATTTGGGTGTGTATGCTTAGATAGACTTGCATATGCTCTTTTGATGTCAGTTCAATGCATTTGTAGCTGCTAGACAGAAATCAAATTATCACAGAAATGGTCCTAGTTGTCGTTTATGCAGCTACATATTGGCATTAACAGTTATGTGCCCTTAAATTAGCCTCTGTTTTCAAAAATCTTAAAAAGTTGGTAAATGCTATACTGCTCTTATAGCTATGTGCCACAAATCGTACTGTCCTGTTGGCCTACTTCTAACAACTATTTTATTATGGTTGCATATGTGAATATTGTGCATAATATTTTCTGTATAATTGTATAAATCAGAATTGGAAATGTCTGTGCTTACTTTATATTTCCAGAAGATGTATTAAGGTAAACTTACCTAATAAACACTGCACTTCTTTTTCAATTGGACCCTTACACGCACTTTATCTTGTAGATAGTCTTGCATGATTTTTTTATCAGTTGGATTCTCTTAAACCCTCCTTTCTGTGGTGTGTTTATGACTTGTAGTCATGTAGTTGTGCCTTACATTGTGAAAGAGTTTAGTTTAGTATGCACTGTAATCCCTAAACTCTGCATTCGGAAAGTAATGAGAGCGCAAGAGCAAGAAAGCTACACCACGCACCAACTAATTCTGTATGAAACACATGGGTGGAAATTTGTGGAAATGTTACTTTTGTATTCTAATCTGTTACGCAGCTGAAAATAAAATTAGACATTTCTAATAGACGATTTGCAGTGACCAATTTGCTGTTCTTTTGCTGATGTAGATAGAAAGCTGTCACTTTATGAACTTGTGTTCAGTAGAAAATTCAGATAGCAGCCAAGCAAGCCAGACAGACATTATTTCTTTATTCCAGATCTGCATGGCTATCACCTTTTCCTTTCCTTCTTGATTGTAAAAAGCTACTCTGCATTAAGTGTGCTGAGTTTTGTCCCATGAGAAAAACTTATGAAAAGTCAAAATCTTACTTTAACTTGGGGTAGGTGTTTCTGTGAACAGTGCTGCTATGACCTGACTGTAGAATAACTTTAAAAGAAAAGTTTAACAGATTATGGTTTAATGGCACTTGATTTTCCTTTCTGTTTATCATATATTTTTCCAAGTCTCTTTCTTTGGTGTATCACGAAGAACAGACCCACAATAAGGCAATCAAAAGTTTCTTCTCTGAGGAACTGAAAGGCATACAGTACCAATGTGACCATCCAAGATGGATTTTGTTCCCATCTGAACTCCATTTCAACAATTATGCTAACATGGTTCCTACTTTCCTTGCTCCCAAAAGCATTCCAAACCTTTTAATATGTTTTCATTAACAAAAAAGATTGCTACAGTGTCCATTGGTTCCGCAGTTAAATTTCAGATGATTCCGCAGCTAAAGTGGAAAAAGTGGTTTGAGGACGATTGAGTCTATTTGAGTAATTCAAGATTGCAGTTTCCATCTGGGACATCCATGTTTTCTGTAATAGAAAGTATAATCTGAGTTATGTTATTTCCATAGATACAAGAACTAGAGATTGCTATAAATTGTACATGTGGGCAATAATGTGCATACTATGTAAATGACTTCTAAATTATAGCAGAATTGAGACATCCCCTCCAAGTAACCAGACTAACTCAGTGGAGAGGGAGGGAGTTAAATGTGGTTTTGCTTCACATTCTCCTTTCAGAGAAAATATTAATAGATGCTTCAGTAGGAATAACATCTATTCATATTCATCTTTATCATAATCTTTTAAAGAAAGTGTTGCCTTGTTCTGATGTTGTATGGGACAGTAGTCAACAAACACAAATAATAATGGGAGGGTGTTAAATTTATCTTGGATGCCTCTCTTCTGTTGATTCAGCATATTATGTTATAAAATGTTTGTGCGGGGGGGGGGCAAATACCTTGATAGATTCTGTTTGTGCTTGGAGTAGGAAGGCTGCTATGCACTGCTGATACCTATTTTCATGTTGTATTAGAAAAGCATTTCGCAGTCCTAAAACTATGAAAAAATTAAGACACGGTGAGAAACAATGTCCACTGCAGGCATCAATAAATAATACATGCCTGTCTGTTTGAAAAGGACTGTTAATTGCATAAGTGCCTGCAAAGTACAAAACACACCTCAATATCACAAAAGCACACGTTTCAACATACACAAGCTATTTCAGTGGAAAAACACGCAACAATCTGGGGCAGTAAATGCAGAGCTGGGAAGTAACAGTTACCCGTAACTAGTTATTTTTAAATAAATGATATAATTATGTTCCTTTTAAGATGTAACAAGTGACACTTAACATCTTAGCTGTATTAAGTAACAGTTACTTTTAACAGTTACTTTTAAAGCCTTTTAAAGGCAATTTTGGGCCATGTTCACACACTTTTTCCAGTTTTTATGCTAGCAAGGTACGTATTAGCATTCTCCTTTGTATTTCTATGGTGGAGTAATAGAATGGACCAATATACAGAACTGTATTTCCATGTATTTTTCTGGGCTGTTGGCAATAACATACGCTTGATGGCATGTAACTCAGAATTTCCTGAATAGTTGAAGCAGTGATAATTGTAACTCCTGTAATGAGTAATGCAGTGAGTTCCATTAAAAAAAGAACATTCCAAGTTCTGAGAAAATTTTAGAGTTAATTTGGATATGCAGATACCAGTATGAAATGATAAGAGTGAGTTGTAGGTTTATGTGTATTTTAAGCCCACCTCTTCTGCTGTTAAAAAAGGAAAAGGAAAAACCCTATGTAGTGTTTTATGTAACTAAAAAGAAGAGAGAACGGGTCAGAACCAGCTAGATAATGGGTTCTGCCCTTGCTTATTATTAGCTGAAAAAAGTGTATTTTAAAGGTTGACTTAGGAATAGTTCACAAACCACTGAAAAACAGAAAACAGTGAAAAATGGTCCCACTGAATATTAATCTTGCATCTTAATAATGCATTATCTTGGTCAAAAATGTAAAAGCTCATTTCCAAACATTATTCTGGGTGATCATTTTTTTAATAAGATAACTTTCTCCATATAAAAACAATGTTACAAGACAATGGCCAGAATCCTGTTGCGCAACTTTACCCCACTCAGCTATGATTATGTCATCAATTGTGATGGAGGAATTAAAACTTCCCATTTAAAATTAAATGGTGACTGGGAGGAATTAAAAACCTCCTGTTCCTTGCCCAGGTTCTGGAGATCCCTAGGGATCCTTTTTTATCCTGGGGAAGCCTTTGGGATTCATGAAATGCGGGAGGGAGCTCTTAATGTCCAAAAATTACTGGTCCTGGGCATTAAAGACTTCCATGTTTTGTCACTCCCAAAGGCTTTCCCAGTGTGAAAGGGATCCCTAAAGATCCCCAGAACCTGGGAGTGGTGAATAGGAAGCTTTTAATTCCTCCCCCCCCCCAAGGCTGCAGCTAATGACATTGTCACAGTTGTGCAACATACAGTTGCAGAACAAGGTTCTGACCGATATATCCTGAGGTCTATTAATGTTTTAGTGGTGTATGGGGGTTCAAGTGCTTTTTTTCCCAGTTCTACATAATTTTGAATGGATTATGTAACTTCATGGAAGAAGCATAGCTTGCGTTTAAAAATTAAATAGACACTAAAGATAACTTTATCCAATTTCTAAATGTCAAGGATCTGATTGCCAAGATTGTAAAAATGTCTATGGAATTTAATAATTTGTGAGGAGCAAGAAGAGAATATTAAAGACCGGGTATGAGTTTTGAACCTGCTGAAGATCTCCCAAGTTCCACAAATAAAAATGCAACATTTTGTGCATAATTTAACTCTGATCTTCTCCTCTCTAGTTGTCACCACTATGATATAAGATCAGCAATACTTTGTTGGCTCTGTTTTGACATCAAGGTGGGAATTACAATAGCTACGCAGAGGCTTATAAAACACTGCTTGCAAAAATAACATGCATTCTTCCCACCACTATGTCATACACGGTGGAGACAGAAAATCATTTTAATGAGTTGGTGATACTTTGATAAGAGACATAACTTCTTGTGCTGTATACTCAGCTCTCCTTTCAGAGACCTCTCATCAGGTTTCTGATCAGTCAGGTATTGAAGACCTCTATGGGCAACAGTACCTGTGACATACTACCTCCAACTCTGGTATCTGTGTTATCCTGAGCCTGGCAATGGAACAGAGCAAAAGATACCAAAGTTCCTTGATGTGTGGGGAGAACAGGCAACATGAGAATTATTTGTCATGAAGTTACTTGAATATGACAGTAGTGATGGACAGAGAGGCAGGTCTGAGCAAACAAACGATTCCAGTAGATGAAACTATCCACTTTGGTTTCTACTGATATTTTTAAAAATCCCACCCCAGAATCTAAAACCATATCCAGCATTATTAATGGCCAGTGACAATCTAAGTTTTTTTCTATTCTAAAGGATTAGATGTGCCTAATGGTGGTTCTAGGTTTACAGCTATACAGTATTTTATATTTTGAAAATGGAGAATCAACCTTTCCAGCCTTTCTTGTGTTCAGTATTATTAGGTCAATCCAGGTAAAACCTAAAACAGTTATATATCCAGATGCTAGAGTTTCATTTGAATGTCTGCACAACCTTCCTCTTTCATTTCATATCAGGACATTATCAAATCTTTATGCCTAATAGAAGATGATGATAAATGCCTGCATTTGTGTACCTTTAGTTGGCACAATACAGGAATTATATCATGAATTTTGAGATTTTCCTTCTGACCAACATGTCTGCCCCTGCTGTTTATTTATTGTGCCCAAAATCCTATTGGATGTTTATGTTGATGTAACTCTGTTTCCACTCATATGTTTTCACTCTGAATTGCACGTTGCATGTCAACATTTTCTGTTTCACAGTGAGTCACACAACTGGCCTGCAATAGGAAATGTGTAAACCAACTTTTTAACCTTAATTAATTAATTAGCTGATAAAAACCAATGGAGTTACACTACTAGATGTAACTAATAGGATTCTGGCCTTTATTTTCTAAATATGAGTCCATCTAAACAACACTATTAAAGCATTTTAATACTGCTAACTGCCATGTCTCCATCCTTTGGAATCCTGGAATTTGTAGGGTTTTTTGAGGCAGATCTCTAGTCCTGTAGTTCAGGAGGGTGAATCTGAGAAAGAATTTCAGGTACTTTAGCAAACCACAGATCCCAGGAATTTATAAGATGGAGCCAAATCAGACTGATAATGATGTAGTATAAATCCTCTCAACGTTAAAAGGAGGGTATTTAGATTGGTATATGAAATATCTGTCGCTATCTATTTGCCAGACTACTGCATAATACTTTGAACATTTTAAATAAAGTCTTATAAAAATATATTTCACACACCTGTTATATGGAATGAATCAATATTTCTTATTGTCAACCTGTCCAGTGGAATAGGCTGGTCAAGCACTGTGCAGTAGCTGCTGTCCTCAAGCAGAGATTGCAACTCCATAGAGAAGAAAGGGCAGGCCGGGTTTAAACTCAGGTCAGAACTTCCAGATTTCTGGAATAAAATGGAGGAACCATATATTGCCTGAAACCTTATATTGCCTGTATATTTATTCTGAATGAAAATTGGCTTAGTGTTTTCCGTGCTAAATGTTTCACCTGCAGCTTGTGAAGTACATATAGGTCTACTGAAACTGATTCACAGTTAATACTCCTGTTTTTCTGCCACTGTGCTAGCTTCATGTGACAGAAAGTTCTTACATTTATTAAATGGTTGCCATGTTTGATACCTTCATTTCATAGCTGAAACTGAAAGATTGCACTTTATCTAGAGGTCCTTAGGAAATAGATTGAAAGAGTTGAATCAATTGGCTTTGCTTGATTGTGTTACAATTAGCACTGTTTTCAAAATATACCATAGAGATTGTCTAGGATGCAAAATATAGATAGCTGCCATCACACCAAGCCTACTTCTGTGCTTGTTTTTTTTTTTTTTTTTTTAAGTTTGAGCAGTTTCACAGACTGTAAAGCCATTTCTGGCTAACCTGTGGAGTCAAGAATTGAGCAGAAAGTCCATTGTCTCCAGTCCACTAGCCCTTTATCTACATTTCAGTAATTGTGAGGGGCAGAGTTGAGCCTCTACATGTTTTGCAATTTTATATATTTATGACCCTTTGTCCCACCAAGAATGCACTACAAAATAGAAGATTATAAGCAAAATATGCCAAATTTACGGCACATCATAAACAACACTGGTGATACAAACACATAACAGGCATTCTTTGTAAAACCTGCTGCATCGTAGAATGCCTTCTCTGCCTTGGGAAGCTGATTTCAACCCCAAAAGAAGAAATGGCTGGCTTTCACGGATTCTTTAAATTGTTTTCTTTTTTCACACTCCATGCCTGAAAAATCTTAAGAGGTCCAGAGGCTTTTCAGGTATTTTGTGACCCCTGATGACTTCAGTCCATCTGCTTTTCTGTTGATTTACCTATTCTTTCTATGAATATTAGGGATGTTTTCAAGCTACATCAAGCATTACTGCCTGCTTTTCACCCTGTTCCCCTCCCTACCACAACTGTGCATGTGTTGTCAATTTGTCACCTGTCCGTTTATTGCTTTACTAACTGGAAGTGATGCCAGGTCAGCAGCATCGCTCAGATTCCCTCAGATAGGATCTGAGTCCAGAGGCAAGTCCTTCTGGCCTGGAGAAACACAGCCATTCCCTGATTCTCCAGACACTGCTTAGAGACCTGCCAACTCTACGTGACTCATGATGGATGTCCAAAGCACCAGGGCTGCTATTTGTTTTGTTTTGTAATGTCACTCTGCATTCTGGAAACTGCCACCCATATCTCAGGATCCTGTTGTTGGATAATTTTCTTCAAATATTATCAGATTGTGCCACCATTCCAAGAGAATATGTTATAATTTTTAAGTTATGTTCACCAATTTTTTTTCACTATTTACATATTTACTTATACCAAAAATGCACAAGTCTTTCTCCACCATTTTAACGTTTTAAAAAATTACTTCCAAATATTTCCACAACTTCAAAAACATGAACACACGACTGCAGTTGATCATGCTGCATTTCATACCTTTTTCAGCCGGTTAGGTTTTGTAATTAAAAGCAAGTCATCAAATAGAAACAGGTAAACATCAACAACTCTCATATGTTCTGTGGAAAAATCAAAATATTAAATTGGAGTGTATAGATCTTAAAAAAACAACAACACCTAACAAAGAAACAATCCCACCCACTCCTTACGGGACCATGAACCCTAGCCAGCAGGCTAACAGGAAGAGAGGGTGGAGTTTTCAGTTCAGAAATATCTGACGGTCCATCCTCACATCAGAGCCATGGTTGTTTCTAGAGCAAATAATTCTCTCAAAATGTATGAATTAATAAAATATGATCAAATACATTTCAGAACAGAAATAACTAACCTATACAGAAAAAATTATTTCTTTGGAAGAGTAATTAAACTTTCCATATTTGTATGCATAATTTATATTTTTATTAGCCTCAAGCATATACCAGGCCCACTAGTTTAATTTCAAGGACAGTGAATATAAGACAGTTTTTCCTGAAGCAGCTCTGTACTTCCAGTTCAGCTGTTGACAGACCTTGCTCTCACATTGTTTTTTTTTTTACATTTGAGAATAATGCTTTTCTTGAGTTTCATGGTAATATAAGTATTCTAGCTTCATAGTCAGTGTACTTCAAACTATTCAGGAATCGAGAAGGAGGTGGCTTTCATGTTTACTGTTTTTTTAACCTGGGGGGGCAGGGCAGGGAGGCCGGCACATTTGTGGATGTGGCTGAGGAGAATTGATCTTCCCCCAACTTTTGCGAACATGCTCTGTAATTCTGATAACTGGAATGAACAGATCTAAGAAAAAAATGTCTGAGGTAATGAAATGTCATGAGGCAAATGTGGTAGAAACATGCCACCTCTCTCTTCTACAATGCCCAGGTGCACAAATGGCCTTTGAAAACTCTCCACCCTATTTGCAAGACAAGAAATCAGCAGGTCAAGTTCACTGGATTTCTCCAGGGAAAGGAAAAAATTATCTGATATCATTAGTATTGGCTACAGCCCAGCTTTGCTCTTTCCCTCCAAAAGAATTTTAACATGATTGCGTACTCCACAGTGCCCTTTACCTAGCATCAGTTTATGATGTAGTGGTATTTGTGCTGAGTGGCAGCAGGCAGCAAAGAATGGAAGAGGAATGTTGAAACTTGGAATGACTTCTGCAAATTGGCTTTCTCTATTTTCTTGTGGGTTTTTTTTAATAGGCCTCCTTTCTCCAGAAAAGGGAAGCCAAGGAAGCTTTTAGGATTGAAGTTAATACTGTTCTATAATTTTTTTAAGTGAAGCTAATCTTATTCCTCCAATTTCCTAGAAGAGGCTTCCATTTACCTGCCTCTTTGTCAAGGCCCTTTAACATTTCCTCCAGTGATGCTGTTGAACTTATTGTAACATTCCTGCATTTGGGTGTTTTCTTCTATCTGTTTGTAACTCTGTAATTCCCATGGCCACCTAAACTTTCTGATCCCAAAAAAGCCCATTGGGAGGATTTATTGCTGATACCTTCCTAGTGTTCCCCTCTGATACATGAAAGAAAGAAAAAAATCATTATTGGATCTAGACATAAATATGATCTTGATTGTACAGGAACTTGATGATTCCTGCTTGTTGTCTGATTTTATACTTTGATATCTGAAGTTGAATTTTGGCTTTAAGATATCCATTAGAAATAATGGTAGATGTTATTAAATTTATTTCTACTTTTTTCAGATTGATTAGAAGAAGTAAAAAATGACAGTTTTTAAAGTTCAGAAAAAATCCAGCTTTGCTTACCCTTTTAAGGCATTTCAATCCATCTTTGCTTTCCCATTAATACATTTCAGATTTGTGAAAAATTGTGGACTTTCAGCTTCTTCACCACAAGGAAAATCATTTATTATTGGCAGTGTTACATTCTTGTCAGCTGGTATTATTAAAGCCATGACATATTTTGATCTTTGAAGGAGTTATGTCTGTGCTGTACTTTTCTTCAAATAGGATTTGAGCTGATTTACAAGACAGCTGTGTCAGTGATGATACATTTCATGAGTAAATGTGGCTTAAATGTTTGCTTGCTTGTGTCTTTCCTACTGTAGGCTTCTAATAAAGTGGTGAGGTGATTGCTTCACCATGTACATTGATCATGATTTAGTGGGTGCTTTTCAAATGTATGTTTGATTGATTAACTGTGACGAAGTCACCCGACTTACCACTTTCACATTCCCTGAGAGCATCAAAAGAACTAAGTGCATCGTGAGCCTTTAATGTGTTTGACTTAGGGTGCATTTCAGGAAGGGACGATCTCACAAAAAATTGTATATAAATAGATTCAATGGACAACTAAAATGCTTGCATTTTAAAATGTGCACAAACATGTTTTAGTCAATGGTTAAATCCATTTATATTAGAAAAAAATGTACGAAATGTATTTTTAAAGTACTCAAAATATTATCACATTTCCGTGGAGGAATAAAAAAGAAAGTCTCAGAATTCACGACAGAACTGAGATAGAATGAAGGTGCCAGTGAATACTGACATCCTCAATATGCAATGACAAGGATGAAACTGACAGATTTTTACATCCTTCAAAGGGAATTGTCATTAACTATGCCCAATGAACACCTAATATTTTCAATCAACTCAGATCTCATCAGCTAAAAACTAATGAGATCAAGGTCTTTATTCCAGTGAAAATGCAGAAGAATTCTGTGTAATCAGTGATATTTGGGTATAGAAGCAAGTAGCAAATGCTGGCTGAAATCTGTTTAAACGTTATCTAATATGCCTCAGTATTCTTGATGGTTCCTTTTGACATGTCCTAAATCAGTTAATTACTATAGCAACACAGATAGAACACCTTGATTTTTGTTTTGTCATCTTTTCATGTCTTGAGGTAATATGGTGACATAATGGTTTTTGGAAGTCATTGCATTTGCTGCATGTCAGAGCTTGAATAGATTGTATGATTAAAACATCCTGTACAAATTACATTGGACTGAAATCAGACTTTTTCCCCCAAGAAAGGAAGGATTTTTTTTTTTTTGGTCTTTCCCATGGGAATTGATACTTGGATAGAAATGGGACTCAGAGTCTTGCCCTAGCATTGCTCAGCATATTCTCTGTATTTTTGTCTACTATGCACTCAAGTTCCCTTTTCAAATTCAGAGATGTTTTTATCCAATTTACTGCTACATCCAAAATTTAAACTTTACCTGCAAGAGTTAACCTCCCCTCATAAACAAGGGATCTCTTGGTAGGTGACAGGATATTTTCACTGAGGTTGTCCCTTATTGTGTTCTTGAGACCCTTGTGATGAAAAGAGAGAGAGAGAGAGAGAGAGCCATACAAATTCCATTAGTAGAAGTTTGTACTTAAACATTAACAAGAAGTAAGACTCATAATATTACTTCTAAGACAAATGAACATAATGACTTGCTAAGGCTATTCATAGCTGAGTGCTGAGACCCAGAGTCTTGCCCTAGCACTACTCGGCTATAAATGGCTCCAGCGTGTCATTATAGTCATTATTCTTCAAAAATAATGTTCTAAGCGTACACATCAGCAGAATTCAAATCAGATAGTCTACCAGACAATCACACTCTCAATAGAACAATTCTACATATCAATTATGCTGGGCAGAGGGATAAACAGCTGTTATATCTTATAAATGACAGGCAAGAAGAAAAGGAGGGAACAAGTAACAGAAGACCACTCAAAAATGGCATAAAAACAACTCCCAGCAGCCCAGAAACATTCCTGAGGTACCAATATAACATTTTAGGCATATAAATTCCTTATACAATGCACAGTGACCAGAATGCTGTTGTTAATTTATGAGCACGTAAGTGAAATCACATACATTGTGGCAACAAACTACTGCAAATGGTTAAGGTGCCATTGTGTTCTTGGGTGTGTGCTTGGTGGTATGACCATATATGTGCCCTGGAATGCAACCAGCACCTTGTTAATTAGTGTTAATTTGCCACCACGTCTTAACACATGTTTAGATCACTAACAGGATTCTGACCAATGCATATACATGCAGTATGATACAATATAGCATTTGATTAGGTACTTGTGATTAGTAACAACGAAATTTTGAAGGGCTTCACCTTACATTAAGTAAACCCTCTACCTTAGGTCTAGCAGTTGGGTTTTTTTGTTTGGCCAGTATCAATCCATGGTGATTATGTTCTTTTAGTGTTGCAAATGAAATTGCCTGCTATAGTGACAGCGTAACACATAACATGGGAAGATTCCTAGGTATCACATGCCTACCGCATATGTTTGTGGGCTCTTGGGACTCCCACTCCCATCAGGCTTAGTCTAACAGTTTGGAAAAATTTATTTATTTATTTATTTTATTTATATCCTGCCTATCTAATCAATTAAGATTACTCTAGGCAGCTAGAGCCTAGAACCCAGAACCCAGAATCTCCTAGTCAGGATGGTCACATTGTAATCTAAAATGTATTTTTCCTAAGCTCTGCCTAGCTCACATAGCCAATGGTGAGGGATAACGAGCATTGCACATCAACAGTATTGGGAGGGCTACCTGTTCCCCATCCAGTTTCTGCTGAGGATGTATCTTTGATGTGTGTGTTACATGCTTATCAAGTCAAAACTGACATAAAGCAGCAGTAACAGGGCTTTCAAGGTGAGTGAGCTATTCAAGGGATGGTTTTACCAATTCCACGGTCCCCGCAATGAGTTTCCATAACTGAGCAGGGCTTCAAAGCCAGGTCTCCTCAGTCCCAGTCTGTCACTTTATTCACCACACCATACTGATTAAGTAACTTACCTCAGGAAGAAAAAATCTTTTGTCTTGATCCCAAAGGGAAGGCCAAATTATAATTTCTTGTAGTTGCTTAAATTTCTGGAAATTGTCCAGCCATTTCACTTTCCCTTCTAAATTTCCTGAAAGAAACACCATAGTATAGCAAGGCTGGATTACAGATAGTTACCTATCCATGAAGAAGTGGATTATGAACACTTCGTCATAAGCCTTTATGTTTACAGCCTTGGTGTATATACAGTACTTGAATGCTTTCCATATTAAGAAATCCAAATTGAAGTTGGTGGAAAACTAAATATCTATTTAAAATATTTTACCCTGCCTTTTCCCTAAGAGTACATTAGTGCATGTACATCAGTATTTAGGTGGGTGGGGAGGGAAGGTTGTACCAACCACAAGCCACATAGAGATTTTTTTAGTATTGTTTACTGTACAGTCTCCCACCAACCTAGCGGTTCGAAAGGATGCAAATGCAAGTAGATAAATAGGGACTGCCTCGGTGGGAAGGTAGCAGCGTTCCGTGTCTAAGTCGCACTGGCCATGTGACCACGGAAGATTGTCTTCGGACAAAACGCTGGCTCTATGGCTTGGAAACGGGGATGAGCACCGCCCCCTAGAGTCGAACACGACTGGACAAAAATTGTCAAGGGGAACCTTTACTTTTACCTTACTGTACAGTACTTTTGTTTTGAACAGGATAATTTTATGCTGGTTAATGCAGTTACTGTGTCTCTCACTGTGTGGGTACATTTGTGTGGAATTCAGGTAATAATGATATCCTAATGTTTATATTGGGGGAAAACACTTTTACATTTTTCAATTTTACAAACACTTTGCAATACAACTTTCATGGATATGCATGCTGAGATACCCACAAAGATGCAGTATTTTAAACTTCATCTACTCACGTATAGATTTTTCCACCTTCTCCTTAAGGGAACCAATGACAACTTTCTCTGCTGGCTCTGTATGTTTCCAGATGTTCTTCAGGAGGAGGGGATAGCGGGTCAATTTGTGTAAAGGTGCAACAAGCAGTTCAGACAGATGAAGCCGTTTGCATTGTTCCTTCTGTTCACACCACTGTTGAATTACAAAGGAGGACAAATAAGTTCATTGGACAAGAGAAAAGAAAAAAAATGAAACAATTATATAGACTAATTATTTGGATAAAAGTTGATGTTATAACCACTTATGTGCTGCTACACCACAATCATTTGGACAAGTCTTTTGATATATCATGGCTTTCTTTATGTTCCTGTGTTCTTAACCCTGGATTTGAAGCAACTAGTTAGAAATTAGCAGTCACTATCTCAATTTTGAAGTTATAACTGTACAGTTATAACTTCATAATTATAACTTCACTTACAGCCAGAGCCGGGCACGAACCACAGTTCAGTGCTTTGGTTGAGTATGGCAGATTGGGCCCATAGGTGTTGTGTGGGCACCCTGGATTCCTTGCCCCACCTTCTCACATGGGTGCCCACTCAGGAGAGGACGCAGGGCATGGAAGCCCAAGGCACTTCCTCTGATGGAGTGCCTGTGAGAGGAGGTGGGGTGGGGAATCCTGGGCGTCCACGCTACACCTGTGGGCCCAATCCACCCAGCCATGCCAAACTGATGTTCATGCCCATTTCTAGTTATTACTTAATGAGAACTTCATTCCTTTTGCAATATAACAATCTCTTTTTAGTTATCTAGAGTAGCCACTCTCAATGGGGGCCATGGATTCATTGTTTGTATTGTATCCTTTGTATTGTGTTGCTCACAGCCAAAGGCTTTCCTTGTTTGATAGGGGGTCCTGGAACCTGAGAAAAGCTCCTAAAATGTCCATGGCCAAAAAAGAGTTAAGAATGGCTGATACAGAGGATACACATGGTTTCTGAAGTAACTGGTAAAACGCCTTGTCTGCTGACTCATGTTCTGTTGTGTGTGTTAAGGAAGAAGAAAAGCGTTTTTTGTGCCATAGGCCAGTGGCTTTGTACCATGAGTAGCTATCTTAGTTACTTTTGAGGACTGGGTCAGAGCTATTTTAGAATCTTAACTATAATGCTAATTAGCTATTTCTGAGAACCTTGGGACTATAACTCTAAGTAATTACATTTAGAAATAATTTGCCAAATTCTGCTTCTAAGTTAGTTTTGTATATATACTAGTTATCTCAATAATTGTGTGTGTGTGTGTGTTTCCCAGTAAAATTCATCTTGTGAGTTGCTATTCCAGACCTTAAAATATGTACTAGAATCTTAAAACACTCCTTTCTTAGAAGTGATGCACTGGAGTGACAAATTAGGACAAGTGGAGGATAGAAGTTTTTTTTTTTAAAGTATGGCATGCTTGATAGGCTATGTTACACAAGAGTATTAGCTGTGTCTATGGAAATTTCTAGATTTGGGGAACCCTGTATCTGCTTTCTAACATCTGTTTTACATAGCTAGGAAGTGGAAATACGATACATTAATCATGTTTTATGCATATTTGGCAGTAGGAGAGCAAGCTGTTGATACCCTGCAGCTCTACTTGGCAGGGATCTGCTGGAAATGAACGTGTTGCAAACACTCTATGTAGCCTTAGGCAACCAAATATCTTTCACCCACAGCGCTGTCCTTTCAAATATGCAACACTTGCTTGAAGTAAGAACTACGGCTTTCTCTAGGCTGGTGATCTCTCTACACAGGATGAACTGCAGGTCCCATTATTCCGGGGCAGCACGGCCGAAGGCTATGCTGACTGCAGATCATGAAGGTTGTCATCCAGTGTGTTTGCAGAGCACCACCCTTGAGGAAGATTTTTTTTAACAAATATTCCAAACACTACTGAGAAACATACACCTCTCATTACAAAGACTTAAAAGGAGGAGACTTGATTAGAGATGGGCACGAAGTGGCAAATTGGCCATGCATGATGGTTCTCAGTTCACCAGTGTCCATGAACCACAAACCATGCTGAATTTTTTTAAAAAATGAATTGGTTCGTGGTGCATTTGCTTCAGGTCCATCTGTAAATGAAGGTGGGCTTTCTCTGTACAGTGGGGTCTCTACTTAAGAACTTAATCCGTATTGGAAGGTGGTTCTCAAGTTGAAAAGTTCTTATGTTGAATCTGCATTTCCCATAGGAATGCATTGAAAACCATTTAATCCGTATCTGCTCTTTTCCGTCCATAGAAACTACAGTGGAACCTCTCCTTAAGAACTTAATCGGTTTTGGAATGGTGTTCTTAAGTTGAAACGTTCTTAAGTTGAAGCAAAATTTCCCATAGGAATGGACTGAAAACCAATTCATCCGTTCTGGCTGTTTTTTTGTTATGTAGAGGTGCGTTCGTACATTGAAGCATTCGTTCCCATAGGAACTAATGCAAAGCTGGTTAATACGTACTCTACCACTAGGGGGAGATTTTTTTTTTAACCTAAGATGACCTAAGGTTAAAAAAAGAGCAGGAAAGGTTTTTTTTTCCTGTTCTTATCTTGGATTTCTGTTCTCAAGTAGAAGCAAAATTTAGCAAATGGAGCTGTTCTTAAGTTGGATTGTTCTTAAGTAGAGACCCCACTGTAGTTCAGCTACACAGAAAGGCTTCCTCCATGGGTTTCCCATCCCCCATCATATTTCATGGTCCCCAGCATCAATCCTGACTTGCTCTGGAACATCTCCTCCCCCTCCTCTCTGTTGCTATCATGTTGCCCAGCTGAGTAGGACAGTAGGGTGTCTGGGGTTTATTTCCTGCCATAGTGCTTCCTGGGAGGGTTAAGAAATTGTGGAAAATGTACAGTAATTCATTGATGATTCCCTATATATAGCCCAGTGGGCAGCAGAACTACACTTCCCACAATACCCGAGGCCTCCCAGGAAGTGCTGGGGCAGGAAGTAGGTCCTAGACAGCCTATTGCTCAACTTAGCGGAGCAGTGACAGCAGAGGGGCAGTGGCCCAGAGCAAGTAAGATAGGTGCTGATGCCCATGAAGGGGGACCTTTGGGGGGGGGGGAGGAAGGAGGAGGATGAAGCAAAACAAAATGCCAATGATGAAAAAGTTTGGAGTTTCATTTCACTTTGTGAAAATGCAGTTCCGCCGACCTGCCTAAGAAACAAACCACAAACCGGTCTGATTTGTAGGGAATTCTGGATCCTGGTTGATTCAAATCTCCCCTTCCTCCAACAGTAAAAGAAGTTTCTTGCATCAATGGAGAACAAACTGTTGGTCAAAACCTAAGAACCAGATCAAAGGGAATGTATGCATCTATGTTTGTTTGTTGAATCTGGCAACTTTATTCCACTGCAGGGCTCAAGATAACTAAGGATATACGACAAAGTTTTTCCCCAAGAAAAAGCTCTGAGCTGGTACTCTCAATATTAAATACTGTACTGTATATTGTCTATATTAAGCAATACTTGTCTAATCTACAGCCTCTAATAGCACAACCATGTTAGCAACCATTTTTCTGATATTGCTGCCATAATATTATGACAGCAAAGGCTTAATAAGGACAGCAAAAAACACATTACTTTCAAATAGGTCCCAAAGTCTTCTCTTTTCTTCAGTTTTTCCAAGTAAAAGACAGCGGAGGTGTAATTCAGGCAATAAACCTGGTGGCTCTGAGACATATTTCCTTCAAAATACTGCAAGACCAAAAAAAAAAAAAAAAAAAAAAGAGAGAGAGAGAGAGAGAGAGAGAGAGAGAGAGAGAGAGAGAGATCCTTTTCAGAAACAAGGTGTAACACCTTGTGGCCATAGTACTCTGGACCAGTTCCACCTTACAGTTGTGTGAGCCAGAGATCACCCTGTTTATAGCTGGGGGAGAGCGGGGGGGGGGCTTATATGAACACAAATCGATAGACCTCCCTGGATAAGCATTAAGAAAGTGTAAGCGCCCACACAATACATTGTTCTGCAAGCAGTAAAAATGAATGGATACTGGCTTAGACAAAGAGCAACAGAATACTAAAAACTGGCCCATACATTCACTGAGATTCATTTTATAATAGGTATCTTTGTTGTTTAGTCGGTAAGTCCTGTCCGACTCTTCGTGACCCCATGGACCAGAGCACGCCAGGCCCTCCTGTCTTCCACTGCCTCCTGGTGTTGGGTCAAATTCATTTTGGTAGCTTCAAAGACACTGTCCAACCATCTCGTCCTCTGTCGTCCCCTTCTCCTCTTGCCTTCGCAATTTCCTAACATCAGGGTCTTTTCCAGTGAGTCCTCTCTTCTCATGAAATGGCCAAAGTATTGGAGTCTCAGCTTCAAGATCTGTCCTTCTAGTGAGCACTCAGGGTTGATTTCTTTCAAAATGGATAAGTTTGTTGTCTTTGCAGTCCAGGGGACTCTGAAGAGTCTCCTCCAACACCACAATTCAAAAGCATCAATTCTTTGATGGTCAGCCTTCTTTATGGTCCAGCTTTATGGTCCAATAGGTATCTTACCTGAACCTAAGCATAAGTACCCAATAAGGAAAATGTGAGGTTGCTTTTGTTTCATGGCTGTTATAGTAACAACCACATCCTCAGTATGATCTAAACAAAATTGAGATTTTTTTTTCCCTAGAGGCACGCAAATCTGAGTTTTTGGAATAAAACTCCTGGAATTTCCCAGGCAGCTGAGTGCACACTGAATGCATGAGAAGCCCTGTTTTGGTTAGCATTTCAGCATTTGGGTGAAGACAGTGCAAATCACTAACTGAAAGCACAGCACGCAGTGAATGGCTCTTCCTTGAAGATATTCAACAAAGCTAGTTTTTGCCATATATTATTGTGATGGGCTGAAGCCCCTCTTAAAGATCCAAATGTAAAAATACCCTGCCACTTTAGAATGAGAATCAGTGTGGTGGAGTAGACAGAGTGGCAGATTTTGCTCTAAATCCACCCTTGGCTGTCGAAATCCACTGGGGGTAGTGGTGGTGGCACTGGTAAATCATTTCCGGAATATCTCACATACCTTGAAAATCCTGTGAGAGGATGATTGTAAGTTAGATACAACTTGATGGCACGTAACACAAACATGCACTGTAGAATAATTCAGATTTCCCAAAGTTTCCTGTACTCCCTAACAGCTTCTATTCTTCAAATATACACAGTTATTTTACCTCTGTGAGCACAGCAATTAAATCAATGGAGGATGATGATTTTTCAAGATGATTCTTTATAGCACTAAAGAAAATGGTCACAAAATTGAGACTTATCTAGAAAGGAAGGGAGAGAGAATTGCTTCAGATAATGCCTGAAACCCTGTCACCAATTTAGCAGGCTGCACTAGAGTAGGCCCATTGAATCAATGGAGATTTGGTGAGTAAACTCCTCCATAAGTTCCACCGATTCAAGTGGGCTACTCCAGTTGCAACATACTGTATTAAAGTAAGTCACAACTAGAGTTGAATCAATGGATATTACAGAGTTGTTGACTCATCAAATTCCCATTAATTCAATGGGCCTACTCCAGTATGACTTATTATACTAAACAACAGAAATTCAACCAAAGAAATAAAATTAAGATAATTCATTGTCATTTAGTAACATAGGAAGCTGCCTTATATTGAGTTGGTTCTGATGGGCGGCAATAGAATTTCAGGCAGGATTGTTTCCTAGCCTTACTTGGTTCCTTTCATTCCCTGGTAGTCATCCTTCCAAACAGGAACCATGGCCAGCCCTGCTTAGTTTCTAATATCCAACATTTTCAGGGTAGTATGATGATAGTAATGCAAATGATCATACTAAAGATATAATTTGAACATTGTCACTGCAGACCCTTATTGTTTATTCTAAACCTGTAAGTTGAACTTTATGTTCTGTCACCTGGTTTAACTCTTCCAAGTTTGCAAAAAGTAGCCCAGAGTCCACATCTTGGAGCAATGCTTTGCTTTGCAGGTTCTGTAAAGTATCCATAAAAATCTTTGAAAAAAGACAGGAATTCCCAGTTAGTAATTTTTTCTCTAAATCACAGAACCCTCCTTCTGCCACACTGTTCTCTAGCTTGAAGAAACCCGGCCCTTTGATGGTTCTAAAGCCAACTTTGGGTCACCCAGGTGTTCTTGGACTGCAAGACTTCACCACTATGGTGGATGGGTTTTCTGGGAGTTGTAGTCCAAGAACACCTAGGTGAACCAAGGTTGGGAACAATTGTTCTAAAGGATCAGAGAGAACAAACTAGAAGCTGACAGGACCTTACTTATTTTTAACAAAAATCCTACAAACCAGTAAGTTACAAAGACAAAGACTTAAAATTAAAAACTTCTCAGCCCAGGGATTTATCTTGAATAGTGGAACTAGAGCTTCAGACATCTACTTTCAAGGGACTAAAATTCCCAGCATTCCCAAGATTAGTTCCTTGTAATCCTCAAAATATAGGGGACTGGAATGCTAAAGTAGGGAGTCAAGAGATAAAAGGAACAACAGGTAAGTCTGGCCTTGGAGTTCAAAACAAAGCAAGGCAAAGGCTAATAGAGTTTTGTCAAGAGAACAAACTGGTCATCACAAACACCCTTTTCCAACTACACAAGAGGCGACTCTACACATCAACATCACCAGATGGGCAATACTGAAATCAGATTGATTATGTTCTCTGCAGCCAAAGATTGGGAAGCTCTATAGAGTCAGCAAAAACAAGACCTGGAGCTGATTGTGGCTCTGATCATCAGCTTCTTATAGCAAAATTCAAGCTTTAACGGAAGAAAGTAGGAAAAACCACTGGGCTAGTCAGGTATAATCTAAACCAAATCCCTTATGAATACACAGTAGAAGTGAAGAACAAATTTAAGGAACTAGATTTGGTGGACAGAATGCCGGAAGAACTATGGATGGAGGCTTGTAACATTGCACAGGAGGCAGCAACAAAAACCATCCCGAAGAAAAGGAAATGCAAGAAAGCAAAGTAGTTCAACCCAGCATGTTTCCATTAAAAATAAAACCAAACAGCTATCTTCTCTTCATGTTCTGTTCCAAAGATCATTCATGTTTCAGACCAAAACTTTACTAATCAAAACACACTGGATTGAATGCAAGATAATTTTGGACACCTTAAAGCTTCACACTTCTCTTTCCTGAATTATTACTTTTCTTCTTCTTTAGTTTCTGTAGGATTCTACAGACTACAGGCTGGACCAAATAACTCCCTTAAAAAAGAAATAATCACTGGCTATTTTTACCATAGTGGTACAAAAACATTTAAAAAGTGTAGTTACTGAGCTTGATCAAGTTTCCAATTCAGATTTCCCTTCTTTAGCACAGTTTTGGCAATAGGTGATAAATGTCCACCTACCTGGTTAACCTCTTTGCATTTAGAAAGGATAAATATATTGTGCATGTGGGCGCACCCGGCACTGAAGTTTGGTCCCATTCATGCATGCCTTATACTTTCCAACTACACTGAACAATGCTTGTCTGTTGTGCTTATATTGTATTGCAAAAACCGCTAATCATCTCTATTCAATCTGTTTCCTTTAGAAAGCAGAATTAAATGTTCTCATTGTGACTTCTTTGGGGCAAATGCTTGCAGTTAAGGAAAACTGCTGCTCTGGGTCTGAAGATCTTCTAATCAAATTAACTGCAAATCACAAATCACAAATCGCAAATGATGATGATGATGATGATGATGATGACGACGACAACAACAGCTCTCCTATCATTCCAGCCAGGTCCTCACATTACTTTTTTAAATTTATGAAACACAAAATGACAGATTGTTTTTGCCATATGTGAACTCACCAGGGCTCTTTTTGCACAGAAGTATGGATATTATGAATACTTGCTCAATTCAACTAAATAAGTTCTCTCAATGAGAAATTTTCAAGCTTTGTGAAATATCAACAAATAAAAGGGGAAGATATGGAGGCATTGACAGATTTTACCTTCTTGAGCTCCATGATCACTGCAGATGATGACAGCAGCCCCGAAATTAAAAGACGCCTGCTTCTCACGAGGAAAGCGATGACAAACATAAACAGCATCTTAAAAAGCAGAGACATCACCTTGCCAACAAAAGTCCGAATAGTCAAAGCTATGGTTTTTCCTGTTGTGATATATGGAAGTGAGAGCTGGACCATAAAGAAAGCAGACCGCCGAAGAATTGATGCCTTTGAATTGTGGTGCTGGAGGCTCTTGAGATTACCCTGGACTGCAAGGAGATCAAACCTATCCATTCTGAAGGAAATCAACTCTGACTGCTCACTGGAAGGACAGATCCTGAAGCTGAGGCTCCAATACTTTGGCCATCTCAGGAGAAAGGAAGATTCCCTGGAAAAGACCCTGATGTTGGGACAGTGTGAAGGAAAGAGGAGAAGGGGACAACAGAGGACGAGATGGTTGGACAGTGTCATCGAAGCCACCAACATGTATTTGATCCAACTCCGGGAAGCAGTGGAAGACAGGAGGGCCTGGCGTGTTCTGGTCCATGGGGTCACGAAGAGTCAGACACGACTAAATGACTAAACTACAACAAGAATCCTCAAAATAAATGAGAAGGGAAATGTATTTTCAATGTATTTTCCAAGCAATGTATTAAAAAGCAGCAGCAGCAGCAAAGTGTGCTGCTTGTATACCAACCCATAGTGGTATACCAGTCTCATTTTACCTGTCTTGGAAGGATGAAAGGCTGAGTCAACCTCAAGCCATCTCTCAGATCCATTGGTAATGAACACTGACCATGAGCATAGTTTGGGCTGCAATACTACAATTTAACTGCTGTACCACAAGGCTCTTGATTTTATGTGTCTCTTTGGTACTAATGCATACTATTTCAGAGTAGGTTGGCCTGGAGCAAACTGTTAAGGCTCATCAGCTTTACAAAAGACCTGTTGCTAATAGAGATGGAAAGTGCTAGAACTGAAGGTTGCACTTCTGGACTCTTCTTGGGACTGTAGACTCTAACAACTAACAACTCCACTTCAGGATTTATCATTCAACCACGACCTATTACGTATAAAGATAGGCACCTGACACTGCCTTCAGTTTAGATTAATGGATGACTATTGATAGACCACAGATCAAGGATTGATGACGTCTTCCAAACATACCATTTTGAGAACAAGCAGATGATCAAGAAAGTATGTGCATTCGGTTGTGAAAAGCTCCCACACAGCTTCGTTCTTCTTTATGTCTGACAGATCAGAACCTTTTGGCTGAAGCTGATGCATCTCCATGATTTCCAGCCAAGTTTTGTCCTACCAGTTGACACCACAAATACATAGCTATTTAAGAATATGCCGACACAAACACCTCTGTGCCTTTAACATCAATGCATTTCTCCCACTCTGGCTGCCCTGCACTGGTTATCTGTCCATTTCCATACCAGCTTCAAGGTGATGGTGTTAGCTTATAAAGCGCTAAACAGTTTGGGACCTCGATACCTGACAGAACACCTCATCCAGATGAGATCTGCCCACCCCATATGATCTTCCCAGGCCAGGTGGTTGAGAGTACTGACCCTGAGAGAGGCCCAGGAAGAGAGAACCAGAAACCAGGCCTTCTCGGTGTTTGCTCCTCAGCTTTGGAATAACCTCCCACCCGAAATCCACTTGGCCCCTTCTCTGGGAATTTTTAAGGGACTGTTAAAAACATGGCTTTTTCGACAGCCCTTCCCTCACAATACCTTAATACACTGATTTGTCCTAACATTTATATTATCCGCTCTGCTGTCCTGCTTTATATTATTTTATATCATTGTAACTACTGTTATTTAAAATGTTGGTTGTTTTAATTTTATACTATTATGTTTATTGTTTTGAACTGTGTATGCTTAATATGTAAACCACAAGAATGGCCTGGTAGCCAGATGGGCAGTAAGGTAAAGGTAAAGGTTCCCTTTGACAATTTTTGTCCATTTGTGTTCGACTCTGGGAGGCAGTGCTCATCTCCGTTTCCAAGCCATAGAGCCAGCGTTTGTCTGAAGACAATCTTCCGTGGTCACATGGCTAGTGCGACTTAGACACGGAACGCTGTTACCTTCCCACCAAGGTGGTCCCTATTTATCTACTCGCATTTGCATGCTTTTGAACCACTAGGTTGGTGGGAGCTGGGACAAGTGACGGGCACTCACTCCATCATGTGGATTCCATTTTACAGCTGAAGATCTACAGACCTTACAGCACAGAGGCTTCTGCGGTTTAACCCGCAGCGCCACCACGTCCCACTGAGATGGACGCTACAGAAGCCAAATAAATACATGAATAAAATAAAATTTTCTAAAAGATACATCTGTTTGGGGTTATTACAGCTCACATTGTAGAATTGTTTGTACTCTACATATTGCCTCTAAGAAACAGAAGCCATTTCTGCAGTGGGAAATCAGTGGCTTTCCAGTGTTGCACTAAAGCCCCCATCATCTGTAACTACTCATCAGGTTGGCTGGCATGTTGGGAATTAAAAGTTGAACTGCATTTGGAAGCCCAATCATCGGTTAAGAGAAATCAAAACAGAAATGGAAAAGGACGATCAGTACAAACATTCTGTCACATGATGTCAAGTATTTCTTTACCTTAACATTGTAGAATTCATAATCACTACACTTTGACATTTTGACAGTTACAGTAGAAAGATAATTTTCCAGGTCTGATATCTGTTTTTGTTTATCTTTACCCTGTTTAAAGACAAAAATTAAATGCTAATTTGTTTTCCAGTAAATTTGCTGATGCTCCCTGTAACGGCCTCCTTCTACCTCACAAAGGAAGGTCGCTACGTCACTCCACTGTTACTCTTCTGGTAGTCTGCCACCATCCATCCCCTGCAATAAGTATCTTCAGGCCGGAATGGATTTCAAACAAAATAACTAAAGTTAATTGATTGGTACATTAAGATTGGTATAACAAATAAATCAGGTAATCACATAAAGAAAGGCTCTAGCTCACACAGATTCATATCTCCACACAATCTGATCGCTATCTCATCTCAACACTCACAGATCCTGATCTGACCCTCACACACATACACACCCCTATATATCCCAGCTCCTCCCCCTGATGTCCCGCCTTCCGACCACCATTGGATGTTAACACTCCAGCCTAAACCTTGAAGGACAGGTGACATCATAGCTGTTTGTAACACTCCCCACTACGCAAGTAAGGAATACACACAGACAGTCACCGGGCAAATTATGTGATAGGAGGGGACGCATGTTTAAGACACATCCTAAGGGCTCTGCTGGAGCCAGAGTAAAATGACTACTTAGGGGCAAGGTAGCAGGGACACCTTGTAAAATACTCACCATTCCTTTTTTAGCAAATGGCCACCAAGGCTTTTTGGATTCTAACGAATAAAACAGAAAGAGAAGCAAGAGGACGGTTAGACAAAGAAGCGGAACAGACTTTAATAGAAAAATGGGTTGTTTCCTGATGCAGGATTTGAAACTCTAGCAATCTTTAATAAGTGCTCTTTGGTTTTTTAAAAAAATGAGGAGGGCATTAGGAAACAGAACAAATCACAAGTGGAAGAATGTGTTGCCTAGAGACTCTGTAAAATTCATGAGTAAGGCAGGGCAAATGCCCAACAACACAAAATCCTTGACCAGGAGGATCCTTTGCCTCTAACAAAAATGAACAAACAAACAAACAAAAATCATCAAACACAAAACAACAACAACCCAAAGTTGTCTATTTCAAGTGCATTTGTGTACACAGAGACAGAGTTGCTCCTCAAATGCTTATGAATGCTCTCTTGATGGAATCAGACCTATTTGTCTGCTGATCGAGACAGTGGCTCAGGTCTGAAGATAGGTTCCACAGAAGGAAAGCTTCCAGCTGCCATTCCCTCTCACAGTCTCTGTAAAGCCTTTATCAACAAGAAAGAATGGGATATGCTGCTAAAGGAGGGTAAAATTGCTTCAAATCAAACATGAAGGTTAAGATAGCTTAACTCAGACAACCTCTTCTGTGTAGCATACTGTATTCCACATTTTTTTTCCAGGGTTGTTTTTGAGGAGCCATATTGTCCCTGTTTAAGACATAACCATTCATCTTACTAACATTCTTTACACAGAGGCAGGGTTGACCCCAGACATTTTGCTGCCTGAGGCAAACACTGGCAGTCCGAATTCCACATAGCGAAACAAACTGAACTGGCAGTTAAAACTTACTTCAGCAGTGGCAGTACAACAATTTTCTCTGCATAACATAGTGATTCAATGGCTGGAAAGAGGTAGGGTACTCAGAAGGAATGCTTGGGTAGCTACTGCTGTTTCCCCATCGATCTGAAGTGGTTGTCTCAGCCTACTTAATGGTAGGGCCAGCCTGGTAATATAGGCAAGTGGCACAAAACTGTAGTTGTAGTGCAAACAAAGGCCCAGTGACATATGGAAGCCAGACAAGCTATTCTTAGTTTCAGAGCCATACTCTTTCTGACCTGAACTTTGCAGTGAAGCTGAATGGTACAGGAATTTTGCTGCACTGTCTGGTATCAACAGGTCTCCTGGGAACATCTCAAATCCAGGCAAACTCACCACCACTGAGCTATGCCTGCGTTCTGTTGAGCGATATTGACTGCAAAGAAAAGTCAAATATTGCATATCATTCACAGCAAGAAAAGACTTTCAGGTTCTGGGAGCTGGGTGGTGTTAAAGAAATTGAGAAATGCCTTTATTTTATTCTTCTTGTGAAAATCCCCCCATTTGTAACTGGAATATTAAGACTGTCACTTCAGATGATAGAGAGCTGGAGTCAGTAGCGCAGAAACAAAGCTGAAGAAGAGCTGTTTCAGTGTACTGCTCCAAATTCTTTATATGGGAAGTGGGCCATTCCATTTGTAGGCCCCCTTTCCTCTAATGTCTCTTTTCAATTCCATTTGGTCCTCACAACACTCCTGAAAGGTCAGTCAAGCTGAGAGAGAGAACAATTGGCCCAAGATCACCCAATGAGTTTCATGGTTCAGTGGAATCTTGAATTCGGATCTCCTAAATCCCAGCACTCTAAAACTACAACACCATGCTAGCTAACATGTGAAAACTGAACATCATTTTAAATCTTGCATGAGAGAGACTTCTACCTTTGAAAAACAAACAAACCAAGGTCTCAGGAGGGGCAAGAAAAAGATAATAACACCAGGAGACAATCCTGATTGGCAGGGATAAGTGGCTGGTGTGAATTGCTCTGGCAGTGTCATGGATCCTGTTTTAGGTTCTTCAAAAATGGTTACCACATGGCAGTCATTTCATGTCTTCCCACGAGTCATGGGAGGAGGGAATGATATTTAGCAGTCCATTTAAAGAAGAAATATAATTTTTTACATTTACATTAAAATAGCAGGGATTTTGAAAAAGAGAGAACATGACATAATTCCTTCATTGGACCACTAAAATATTTAAAATAGGTGAGCTTTGAAGTCTATCAAGAACTTTCCTCAAGCCAGGCATTGCAGAGAGATTTTAGGAGGCAGTGGGTGGAGTTAGAAAAAATGTAATATAAATCCTGACTAATTATTGCAGAATAAGGAGTTCAACTAATGTAGCATCCCAAGACAGAGATAGCAAACTGGGCTATAAAGCACTGAATCAACTGGGGGTGTCAGGATTCACCTCAAGCAATGGTGGATCCATGGTCTTTTCCCAACTCTGTTGGCAGAGAATTGCTATGATAGTCTCTGGAGATGTTGGAGAATGGATAATATACTAGAAATGCCCAACAGAGAATGTGCTAGGTGATTGGTAACACTTTGTATTTTTTAACTGGCAAGCATTTAGTGAAAAGGGTCTTTGTACACTGAAGGCAAATTTAGAGACACATCTGAAGGGCAAACCCAGGCACGTAAAGTATTGCAAAAAGCAAACATGAGGTGGGGTGGAACTGGGGTTAAGGCTGATTTTTTTTCTATATTCTGGGTGGGTATGGAACTTTTATGACTGTATTGCAAATGAACTGGAAATGATTGAAAATCTGTAAGTGTCAGCATTGCAGATCTGTTGACAGAAATGTTTAGGGTGGGGTAAAAAGCAAAGATGTGCTGCTGTTTAGAGTCAATCTTAACAGCAAAGTGAAGTTTCACATTCTTTAAATGTGTTCAGGTTACAAAGAGGCTGCCATAAACCCTAAAGCTGTAGAGCCTATGCGATGTGTAATACTCTGTGTTCCCTGCTAAGGTTTACTAGAAAGAATGCATTGTGTTACTTGCTAGATTGATCCAAGTGTTTTTGGTCTTGATTTCAGTCTTGCACCAAATTAAATGAGTTATCATACCCATTGATTTCAGTGGGCCTAATTCTGTATTGGGCTGGGATTTTTGTATAGTGAAAAATACTTTAAATACATAAATTCTGTAGTAGAGGTGCCTTAATGCCATATTATTTTGCAGTATATATTTACGACAGTTCAAAATGGGATGTCTAAGTGGGACAATCATCTGTGCAGTAGCAGTAGGTTGTATATGTTAGAAATCAAGCTATTGGTAGCTATTAAGAATGTTAGTTGACTGCTTTAATGTCTATTTAAACAAACAGTGGACCTTTAACAATCAGGTAACAGGGATTATCAAGGGAGGGTGGGGAAAGAGATACAGATCATTTCCTACGAAGAATCTGAAGCATTTGATCAACTACTATTAATAAATTCAGTGATGCCTATATAGATTATTCGTCTACTCCAGCATGGTAATTCTTACGTTCATTAAAGTGTTCTCAAATTTGGAAAGGTCACATCGTTACCTTTTTGCTTATCTATGTTTTTAATGTCTAAATTTCCAGCAGTAGTTCATTTCATATCCTCTGTCTGCCTCCAGAATAGCCATTGGCTACACATACTTTTCCATTTAGTGTCCATTAAAAATCAGAAGAAAACAAGATCTTAAAAAAATTACTTTTTTAAAAAATTCAGTTCCCAGAATCCTCTGCCAGCATGGCCAACGCTCATGGGGATTCTGGGACCTGTAGAAAAGGGATGTTTCCAAGCTCTGAATATTGCCCGTACTGTACACTCTTCATTCCTAGTACATTTCCAACATCAGTTTTCAAGGGGCAGAGATCTACTAGCATGTTTGAATGGCCACTGACCTCCTCTTGGCGACTTGAAAGGCTAAGCAAGCATAGATGGGCTCATCGGCAACCTTGCTCTTGGAAACAAGGATCATCTACCTAATGTTCGATGATAAAAAGTACCAAATCTGGTCCCTTCTTTCTAAGTTAGTGTTGGGCATGATAAATTAATCACACAACAGAAAAAATGCATTTTTTAAAGAGCGTGTACATACCCAATGGCGTTGTGTAAATCTGATTCCTGGAAGAAAGTAATTTCATGTTAGTTTTTATCAAAGAAAATGAGCTGGCTTCACACCTTGCACTTCACATATTCATATTGAAAGAAAAACTGCAAAAAGCTTTTTCTTAAACAAAATCTTGACAAGTAACTCTCAGTAGGAGATATAATTATACAGCAATTGACCAGGTAGGTATATGGGAGGAAGGGGCTTTCAAAGGGGGTTTAAGGACTGCTGCTGTGCCAGCATAGAGAGACCCATCAGCAGGATCAGATTCATGTTGCTAGAGCTCCTCACCTCCATCTCTCACATGCCTTCAGAGAGGTGGAGAGGGAGAGTTTAGTAGAGCTGTGATATTTCCTTGGCATTAATGCTAATGCATAGTCAGTGAAGTACATGAAATTCCCCTGCTTCTCAGCATTATGTTTCCTGGAATGGTGGCTGTTGAGATCTGACAGATTCCAACCTTGTGTTATTTGCAAGTTACACAGCTAGCCCTCAGTGTGGTGGGAGCATGGGGGCCATTGTCAGTATGTGCTTTCAGCTGAAAGGTTGATAGTGATGTTATGGCAACCCAATTCCTTTGCCCCCTTCTACCAACAGTACTGATCTACACATAGTCCTGAGTGACCACTTTTTTTTGTCTTCAGTGGCTTGGTGAGTGCAACCTGTCCTTCCCACAACACAGCATTGAAGTACTTTACTGTTAGGATGCAAGTCCTGGTATATTCTGTGACATTTGATCACCAATGAATAAAGGGAAGCAAATGTTTGCAAGACAATGTATTGTCTGGAAGATTCCTCTCTTGCAAAGGCCTTTCACATGGAAGTTGGAGCAAGCTTGTTTCTGCTGCTCTACAACAGGGTCTGAATCAGTGGATCCAGATTACAAGAAAGGAGATACAGTATCAACTCACTTTTTGGAAAAACCTCCTGCTGGTAAGAACCATCCGACTGTAGGATGGATTAAAGACACTCTTACATTGGAGGTTTTTAAACAGAGCTTGGATGGCCATGTGATGCAATGGCTGTGGATTTCCTGGTGTTTGGATCTCTTCTAGCTTTACTTTTTTATAATACTATTCTAAAATTCTAAACAAACTCAGTCATGCTACTAGGGGCCAAAATAAGCATGCACATTCTTTGGTATAAAGCATTTGCAAAACATTTTAGACTAAGTAGCATGTGGCAGGGTGTGCAGAGAAGATCCAGACCTACCCTGCTCATGCTCTGCTGTAGTACTAGTGCCAAGTGTGGGGAAAAACACCTTCCAAAGTGGATTGCAGGGAAGTCAAGAAAGGTGAAATGGATTATGACATTTCAGCCCTCATGCTGTCTAAGAGTGGTGAGACTTGTAGCCCATCAGATCTACACCAGGTTGGAGAAGACTGCCCACATAAAGACATGAACCTGAAAGTGATAATGACTTGATTGCTTATACCATATTTTCAGTAAGCTACTAACGGTTACTAAACAGAGCAATAAACAAAGAAAAATAAATAAATACATGGAATAAAAGTTTGCAAATACTTTTTGTTGTTGTTGTTGACCTTAGTATTTACCTTAAATTGTTCCTGTGAATTTTGTTCTCTCTCAGACAGGAAAGAAGGGTTGTTCCCTTTACTGTTCTTTGAAGTTTGATAATCACTAAAATTTTCTTGACAGTATGGTTTAACTGATGTGGGGTCAGCTGATTTTGGCTGTTCTCTCGGTAACAGTGAATCTGTGTGGAGCCTGGTGTATGTGGAGGAAGAATGACATTGAATGGATGAAGAACTTTGACAGACAGGTATTGAAGAACTGCCTTGTGGTGCTTTGTTGCCTGCCCTTGCATTCTCAGTGTCATTTTGGAGTGGAAGTACTTGAGGAGATAATGGCATACTCTTTCGTAGCCTCCTCAGAGTTGGAGAAGTAGAAATCCTTTCTGGAGCATGCCTGTCAAATTGGTAAGGGGTGACATCTCCATCATCACTGTTCTCTGATGGAACTTTCAAGAGGTGTGTGTCTTCACGGAAGCCCTGCTTCCTGGTACTTATACTAGGCAACAGTTTTATCTTAGTGATGGCTGGGGTTATGGTCTCATTGGAAAAAAAGACTGTGTCCTCTGTATCATCCTTTTCTATCGAGTCCAAATTGTTTCCCAACAGTTCAGTCCCTTTAGGTATATGACATTGTTCTTCCATGTGGGTTACTTCATGTTCCTGAAAAGAACATTCACAGTCCATTTTTGCATCTTTTATTCACAGCAGAAAGATCTACAGCCATTGGAAGGAAAACAAGAATAAAGATCCACAATCTAAAAGGTTTCATATTTTAGACATATAAACTTTGCCATTCTATTGCCATACATTTGATATTGCCTTTAGGTTTCATTGAAGAGTTATTTAAAGGCTGATAAAAACTGAAGCATCTTCAGACCTCTGACACAATACTACAGTTAACATTTAACCCCACCCTCAAACTCCAGAACTCAATAATCACAGAATTTTCAAAGATATAAATGTGATTACTTTGCCTTTATATATACCCATTCACTTCTTCTATTACTGTGCTGACCAAATGTAATAGGTTTCCAAACAAGTTCAAAATCCCTTTGTAGTTGAAGATTTCTGAATGTTGCATTATTTTATATCAGCAGGTCCATGTAGTATACTTTCCTGTATAACCTATTTAGTTTGCATTGGTTGCTTAGGTGTTTTCCTGGCATTGTATTGATTTATAGAGGGTGAAACCATAAAGACTGTAAACCTGCACATTAATTAGAAGCAAGTTTGTTTCAACAAAGAAACTCTGTTTCAAACTTCCCTCTGAGGTTTTTCTTCTTCTAAAGATTGTTATCCTTCTATAAAACTTTGTTTCCCTAAACCTGGTACTACTTCTATATGTGTACTACACAGAACTGTGAGTGCAATCAAAGGGGGATTTGTCTCACGATTTGGTTTGGTTTGAGGACAGGCTGGTTTGCTCCTTTTTCTGGTAACCACAGCATGTATATGCTATCATAAACCAGCCCATTCTTGATCTATATTTACCCACATCTTTTTGGGTCCCTGTTAGGGACTACTTTTGTTGTTGTTGTTGTTGTTGTTGTTGTTGTTGTTGTTGTTGTTGTTGTTGTTGTTGTTGTTGTTGTTGTTGTTGTTGTTGTTTGTGTGTGGGGGTAGGATCACTCTGTTTTGGTTCAGTTCCACATGCATGATTGATGGGATTGGACCCAAACTGGCTGGCTATACCTTTGATGAAGGCACTTGAAGATCCTGAGAAATGAGAAGTTTTTCTGCTTGCATGCAAAGGGAAAGGGAGGCAAAGCTTTCTATTTGATTTAATTTTTTGCTAACTGAAACAGTGCATTAGCAATGCTTTGAAAGGGCTTTTTTTAAAATTGCAAAAAGCAACAAGAAATGGAAATCTTCCTTTCTCTTCCCCTCTTCAGGCAAGTGAAAAAGAATCTTTCCATTTCTCAGGATTATTTAGCAGATTCAGGAAAGGGAGAGTTAGCCAGCTACATAATCATCTGGAGAAATGGGAAGCTTCCTTTCCCTTTAAAGGGAAAGAAGATTGGCCTTGATCATACTAAACAGAGTTGCTTGAGGTGTGGCGTGGCTGACTCCATTATTCTATGATTCTGCGTGAATGCAATCACTCGAAACAACATACTGCATCTCAAAGTGACTGTTTTGTGCGACCTCGGTGATCTAGGTTGGGATAATGTGGCTGTCTAGTCACACTCTGAGATATAGTTATTAATACAAAATCTGATTATACAGAATTGAAACATTGATTAATCCAATTACTTATACTGGCCAGCATAAATCAAACAGTATAAATCTTAGCACCAAATTGCCACTAATTAAGAAGCTGATGCTTGTATTTTTCATTGCATCTTACATCATCTGACTAAAGTTTAGTAAGATTAAAAATGTTGACTTCATAACTAATTAGAATTCACCATGGAGACTTGCGCTATTCGATTTACACTGACATGCCTAAATAATAGTACCTGTACAGTATTTGGGGCAATATATGAATCAAGGTGGGGAATCTGTGATCCATCAGATGGCACTAGACTCTGTCTCCCATTACCCCTGACCACTGTTCGTATTGCCTGGGGATGATGGGAGTTGAATTCTACAAAATGTCTGAAATGTTTCCACATTGAACATGCACTCAAATTGCCCAACACATGACAAATATTGAAGTAGCAGAACACTGTCAACATGTGTGAAACACCACAAGAAGCTGTAAGGCTCTGCATGATTATGGCATAGTAACAGTGAAAATACTATTGAACACACAGGACTTCATGCTGAATAAATGTACAGTACATAAAATTGCATTGCACATCATCTTAAAATACTTCGATTTCACTGAATGTTGAGGGGCCATTTATAACACAAAATCTGGAAGGCATATGAAAGCTAATCAACAATATTTTGTAGATAAAGACATGAGATAACAGCAGCATTTACAGAATCTGATTTGGTAACATTCTGATAGCCACATGAGATACTTACTGTTTAAACAGCAGGTTCAAAAGTAGCACTGATATTCTCAGGTATCACAGGGTTCAGATCCTCTGCACAGATACATAAAATGGAAGCTGATTAAACCAACTGCTGAAATCTCTGGTAGCTTGACTGCATATTTAAACTCCCTTCACTTCCCAAGTCTCCTTTCTGAAAGTGAGAACAGGGAACTTGTTTTTCCTCTTTCATATGTTTCCAAGGGATTTCTTTATCTCAACACAGTGCAAAGGGAAATGGGAACAAGCTAGTTTGCAGAAGGTAACATGATCTGCCCTCATAGGTGACTGATTATCTTTGCTTTTCAGACATATTTATTTAACTACTTTCCCATCTACCACCTAGTTTTTAAATGTTTCCATCTAGACTGGGAGGTTAGCATTTTGGCAAATTAGCCTCCTGCAGGGGGAGAAAGATTAAAGAATAGGAAAAAAACATTAGAGGATTTTTTTTCAGCTACTGTGATTTCTTGGGAGAATCAATATAGAACAACTTGTATTTTTATTTTTGACCTTTCCTTCCTGTCCTATGACACAAAGAAGTTTCTCTTCCCATGGAAAAAATGCCCTTCTAAAAGCCTCCTTCAGGGTCTTCCCTAAAACTCCTTCAAAAAATTCTCCCTGCAATATGATGTTGAAATAGAAAATATATCTGCCTCCATTGATTTGATAGCTGGGCTCCATCTGCCTGACAGATATTGCTGATGGTACAGCTAGAACACAGGTTTTATTATATTTTTGATTGAGATTATATAATGCTTATTGAGAGAGAAAACTTAACTCACTCTTTGAGTTTCATGTACCAAATTAGAGAAGAGGATGTTGGTAATAAAGAGAGTAATCACCACGATAATTTACTATAACACTGAAGGCTCTCCTTTCCGTTTTTTCCTCACAACAGTCTTGTGAGATAAGTCAGGCTTACAGAGAGTGACTGGTCTAAATGTGTTTCACAATTTAGTAAGAACTTGAACCTGGATCTTCCAGGTCTCAAATAAACATTCTAACTACCACACACACTGGCTCTCAGTATTAATTCTCCATCCAGCATATAATGAATATCATTGCAGAGCACACAATGTTATTTTTTAAAGATTATGCCTTAATTATTTTCCACCAGCAGATTATCATTAAGGCTGCCCCACGCACAAAAGGAAGTCGTTGGATCGTGCCTTACAGTTCAGTTAGTGGAAGGCCAGGAAAAAATGCAGGAAGAAGAGGGTTCCTCGCTCCCCTTGTCACTTAGGACTGGTAAGAGAATATCACAAAAGCCAAAAATTATTTAACATTAGCATTACTTTTTGTGCTAATAGATTAACCTTCTAATTACATATTATTTTAATGTTGAAGTATAACTCAGTTACACCATCTCTGAAAAGAAACTACATATGGATCAGAATATTGCTAGTTAACAAGTTACTTTGAACCTGTGCATCAGTAGCTGTAGCAATAGGATCAAGATAAGGAAGGTGATTTTTCAAGGAAAAGTATTGAAAAACAGGAGCTCTCCTTAGCACCTGGGGAGTGTGTAGGGCGGATACTTACTGTGTCCATGAAAAAGAGAAAATGTGTCATCAAAAACAAATAGGTGGAATATTTTCATATTTTAATTTATAGGTGTACATTCAAATCTAGAACTAATTTAACTATAATTTAAATAGAAATACAGAGCATCTTACCATAGAAGGGAAGCCTCTGGCTAGGTAACCCATTTTTCTGTTTAGTTGCTAAGTGTGGACAGGATTCGTCTCTCACCTCTTCCTTCTTATGGTTCTTTCTCACTACCCTGGACTCAGACTGGACAAGCTTTCAAGCAGAGGGCCTCTTCCAGTAGAGGATTGTCCTCAGTGAGGTGAGATGCATTGGCATTCAAAGGGCTGTATCTGCTTGGCTGTCTTGCATGCCTTCAGCCTGCTCAGAGCATCACCCTGTCGCTTATTTGCTTAGGGACTGGCACCTATAAATATTGGCTGACACTGTACCTTCCTAACATTGGTTTTTGATGTGCCTGGGCTGGCCCGGAGCAATAAAACTCTCTTGACAGATGCCTGGAATAGAAACAAATATTGTTTGACTCTCTCTCTCTCTCTCTCTCTCTCTCTCTCTCTCTGTGTTTTGGTAAAATGAATTACATAGTGTTTATGCATGAGCATGTTTGGAATGTGAGATCAATGACCTCTTGCATGTCCTACCAATCTGGCAGTTTAAAGTGGTAAGCACAGACACGCCCCTTTGTGGAATTCCAAGCCAAGGGAATTCTGTCAGTCAACAACTGTATGATTTTGTCATGACTTTGGCTTTTCTATTATTTTTAACTAAACATTCCTCTAAGGAAGTGGACTGTAGTATATGCTATATTAAATTTAGTGCCACTATTTGCTTCATTGTTAGAACTTGTGTTTTTAAAAAAATATTTTGCTTTTATTTCTGTTTTTATCAGAACTTGTAAAAGTTACATTGTTGGACTGCAACTTCCAGAAGCTAAGCTTTGTGCCCAGGTTGGCTGGAGTAGTTATAGTAAAAACTTTTGCACATTCTAGTTTTCATAACATTTTTTTTCTTTTTAGGAATTTGTGGCAATTGTTTTAACAGTGAAACAAACCAGTAAGGTCAGCTCGTGGCTAGGAGTTGTGAGCAATCATTTCAGATACTCATGGTAATGGCGGAAATCCTATTAGCTGAGTTGCATTGTGCTGAGCAACAAGGATGATGTCCTTAGCCATGGCCATGCTGTGGCCATTTTGGGGCACTAAAAAGCTTCCTAGACTATCCCAGGCTTTGGAGATCCCTAATATAAATTAATTTAAACCATCCTACCCCCCCTTCAAGGTCTTATGCTCTCAAGGGACCCCTTTTGTCCTGGGGAAACATTTGGAATCCTCAGGGGGTGGAGATAACTTTTAATATTGGAACATTGCTGCCAGGTTGCTTCTGTCAATCCCAATCCAGCGGCAGTGATTTTTCAATATTAAAGCCCCCCCTCCAATTCACAAGCCTTTGCCCAGGATAAAAGGCATCCCTTGGGAGACTCAGAACCTGGAGTTGGAGAGATAGGAAGTTTTTAATTAAATTAAAGATTTCCATCAACAGCTGATGATGTCATCCCCATTGCGTGGTGTACATTTGTGCAACAGGTTTTAGTTAACAATTTAAGGAAAATAAATTACCGTATTTTTCGCACCATAAGACGCACTTTTTGTTTTAAGGAAAATAAATTACCTAGCAAACTGACATATGTATCCATATAGGTGAAAATGATTTATGAAAACAGAATATTAGAGGATACCTACCATGCAGTATTTAGCGTTTTGTGAGCTTGTGTAGAAAGTGGTGACCTCAGGTTAATGAGCTTTATTGTGTAAGAACTTACAGTTCTTGCCCTCTCTTTGGATACCCAGCACTGAATGTTAAGGAGTGTTAATTTGGCATCCTTTCAAAGCAATTAATATATGCCAAAGGAAACAACACGGAACAAAAATATCACAGGAAATACAGATGTAGAATAACAGAGGAAGATTTAAAATTAGTTGTGCACATTTTAAGTATTAGATAACTGTCTGAACTAGAAACAGATTATAGGGTTCTAAAATGTTCAGTCAGGCCAAAAATGGGAAAAGGCAAGCAGTCCCAAAAGGCAGCCACTGTTGATATAAGGTTCAACTGTTGGCTCCAGTAAGCTTCAGTATATGCAATGGGATGGCAAGGTGCCATATTGCCCTTCACTTCTGGCATCAATATGTTGTGATTTCATTCATTTATTTATTTACTGCCCTATTAGTGCAATGCGGTATTCTGGGCAGTTAACAGGTGATAAAATCAAACAGTCATAATAAGTCAAACAAAAAAACCATAAATTAAGAACTAATAACAGCAACAAACAGCGCAAAGCTATGTCAGCATGGACATTGTCCGTAATAGGGCAGGCCATAATGGTGATCTAGCCCTACTGATAACAATATGTAAGAAGTAGAGGTGTGAAGATTTGTCATTTTAGACGACAACTCTCATTATTCCCTAGACTATCATTCTGGGAGTTGTAGTTAAAAAACACAAAGCCGCACACCTATAATAAATTGTTAGCTTTGACCAATCAGACAGGAGTCCTTTTAATCCTTCTACAGCTCTGAGCATTCTCTCTCTCTCTCTCTTCCCTGACTAGAACTTCTGACTGTGTTCTTTTATGAAAGCCTATCATATTTATTGGTCATGTTGATCAACACAAAGGTAGCACCTCTCTCTAGTCATTTTCAAATGGTCATTGTCAAACTGTTAACTTGAAGCTCTATTTCCATAGCAACCATCACTGAGGCAGCCACAACTGTTTTAAATTCTATACAATGCCTGGCCTTCTCAGTTACATTCATCAAAGGTCACTTACAACATGTAAACATGAAAAAACAAAAAACAAAAGCAAGTACATAAACACACAACCCCTGTTCAGGTGTTACTAATGCATAAGAACCGAACACTTGAGGATGGAGGGGTGTTAGTATTGCGGGACTATCTGATTGCCGATGAGTCTGAGCAAGAGGTGTAGAAGAGGTAGCCATGTTAATCTGTGAAAGCATTATATGTCAAAACAAAAGTAAAACAAATAAAAAATAGAAAAATTAAAGAACAAATAAAAAGACATAAACGTGGTGGCACCTTAAAAACTAGCTTTGTATTTTTTTAATGTGAGCTTTTGGGGACATGTTTTTGTTCATGTGGAGGGCTTTAGCGTGAGCAAGAACAGAAATTTTCCAGTGTTCTGCTTGGATAGGCTTAGAGTGTTTCCTCATAAATTACATCACTCCTCTCTATAAGGAGTTTAACAATCATGTCCAAATATACTCCCACTGGGGCAGGAAACATGATACTTTGCAATGACAAAATGGCCATTTTATTTCTCAGAAGAGAAATAATTGACTAACCATCCTCTTTATTTTTAGTTTAAATGAATTATAAAACTGAGTAAAAGTTTGAAAGTGAACAGGGCTGACTCTGGACAGTTTTCTGCCTGAGGAAGAAAAGCAAATATGTCGCCTACTCTCAAAATCAAGTTGAATAGCATCTTAGGACAGTTATTTTGGCACTTGTGACAAAAAATCATATTAGCACTCCTACTGGCAGGGACAGCAACAAGATGCACTGTCTGTAGCACCATTTTCTTGCGTTTGTCATGAATTCCATCCAATTCAGCTCCATTGGATGACCCTAGAACTGAGTATTATGAAAGAGAGGAAAAACCTCTATCCACTTTCTCCATATCATGGACAATTTGAAGTTTCTTTGTCCTATGCCTCATGCCTACACTCCTTTCCCCCACCAAAGCTAAAGAAATCCCTAGACCTTGTAAGAGGTTGCTTTTCAATTTGTCTTTAATATAATGCTGGCAACTAGAGACTACCATTGTTCCGAGCGTAATCATATTAGTATACTTAATTGTTTATTCTTCTTCTATGAATGCAACAAAAGAGACTGCCAAAATAAGACAGCTGATACTTTAATCCTTGGATTTATCACCTCATATGTTTTCTTTCTTTCGTTTTTAATATCTATGTACTTGTACAATTAGAAGATCCCAGTTCATTTGTAAAATGAGCCATCTTTTCAGCTATGTGGTATGATAAAAGTAGTTTTGAGCCCAGCCATCATGGGGAATGATAGTTCTCTTGCAACAGAATTAGCTGAGAGCATTACAGTGAGACCTACCATTTTCCCAAGAGCTGGCTACGGAGTCCTGGCTTTTCTGATGTTTCTGAATGCTTTGTTTTCAATATTTAATAATTTCCTGGTTATTGCTGTGACTCTCAAGAATCCCCAGTTGCGCAATCCCATCAATATATTCATTTTCAACGTCTCCTTTTCAGATCTCATGATGTCCCTTTGTGGAACCACTATTGTCATTGCAACAAACTACCATGGGTATTTCTTTCTGGGCCGAAAGTTCTGCACTTTTCAGGGATTTGCAGTCAATTATTTTGGTAAGTAGAGTAATCAGATGACTACACCTACTATTGCTGCAATTGTTGTTAAATTGTTTGTATTTATAATATTGTTAAATTTATAATATAAATATAAAATACTGTCAAAACAAAAACTGCCACAGCCAGTATACTAAGTGATCATAAAATTGACACCGAGCAATAAGAAGCTTAACAGCTGGGCTCAATCCAGCTATCATTTCCCATTACTGGAGACCCATTGAATGAATGTGACTTGTTAAGTCAATAATAGAGGTGTTCAGAATTCTCAGAATTCTGAGAACTGTAGTTACAAGAGACAAATCTGAACTCCTTCAGTCAAAACTTATGATAGTTTCTTTGACCTGGTGGGTCTCCTCTGGTTGGTGACTCTAAACTCCCTTAATGGCTTAGGTCTCTGGCTGTGGAGCCAGAGGTAGGGAGGTCCAATTCCCCATTGTGCCTCTTTGAGAGAGGCTAGACTCGATGATCCATAGGGTCTCTTCCAGCTCTGCCATTCAAAAGTTATTATTTTTGAGTTCAATTAACTTAAACATTCTATTTTAATAAAGCTAAGACAAATTAAAGATTTTTTTTTCAAATATAGATAGGAGCAGTGCCTACTCAGAAGTTCCACTGAGTTCAATGGGGCTTAGCCCATTGAATGGAGCTAAATCCAATGAAAACTGCACAGCAATCTAAAACTATTTATATTTCTATATTTTTTAAACATTCACACTCAGAATTAATTGTACTGATTTCAGTTTTACTCCTAAGCCAATGCTCATATGCATATATAAATAAATTGTTCTTGGGGATATGTCCCACTGAAATCAGTACAATTTACCTCAGAGCAAATGTAAATGAGATTGGAATATATAGCTGCAATTTTAAGCTCACATACCTTGAGTCTCCTCAAAAGGAAATCCCTGTGAAATAAATCAGACTTGTTCCCAGGCAAATGGTATACAGACACAGCCTTAAAAGAAAATATCTAAGATCCAACAGTCCCAGGGGACTCACTTCTGAGTAAACATGTTTAGGATTTGGTTAGAAGCCTGCACTATGGAAGTCCAGGGAAAAAGACCACTAGGGAAAAGTCCAGTTAAGCAGACATTTCTTTTACCAGTTGACATTTCTTGTATCATTTCCCCAGAAATTTAAGGAACAATGTCAAACTTGACATATTGGTGGCTTAGAAGCTGATCAGCAGAAATTAACTCTTCTCACTATTTTCCAGGAATTGTTTCTCTCTGGTCCCTGACAATTTTAGCCTATGAAAGATACAATGTGGTATGCCAACCCCTGGGAACTCTCCAGATGAGTACTAAGCGAGGTTACCAACTACTTGGCTTTATCTGGATTTTTTGTCTTTTCTGGGCTGTGGTCCCTCTCTTTGGCTGGAGTTCTTACGGTCCTGAAGGAGTCCAGACCTCATGCTCTATTGGCTGGGAAGAAAGATCCTGGAGCAACTATAGTTATCTGATTACATACTTCCTGTCCTGCTTTTTCATACCTGTTACGATCATTGGGTTTTCTTATAGCAATGTGATCAGGTCATTGCATGGGGTAAGTAATCAAGCAAGAAGATGTGTAATTGTATGTTGATATTTCATATTTTTGTCTCACCAAGGCAATTTGACATTGATAGTTAATATATATTTTTCCACACATTTCTTATATCCTTGTCTATTTTCATATTCTTATTTGCATCATGAAAGACTTTTAAATGTGTGTCTTTAAAAACACATATAACACATTCCTGAGTATCCATTTGAGGACATCCTAAAGGGATTTGGCTGAAACAACTCAAGCTATGACAACATGTGTTCTTAAATTAGAAGCAAAAATGCACATGGCTACCATTCAGAATCATTAATTTTTTTGTATTTTTAAAATAAATATGTTTCATTGTCTTTTCATAACATATTGATATACAAACTTCTAGTATGTGGTTTTATGTTCATTTTAAATCTGCAGCCTGTTTTACTATCCTTTAAAGGTCTTCATAATAATTTACATTGTAGAAATCAAAAGGTAGAAGCATTTAAAACTACAGGAACAACAGTATAATTCAAAATGAACTGATTTATGACAAGCCTTTTTCAGAGTTTTCTAGGTGTTGAGTATTCAGAAGTGGTTGAACATTTGGATGCCCTGGGACTGTGCAGCTTGCCCAAGGCTACACAGTCTGGCTCTTCTCCTGGGGGGCACAGTGGGGAATTGAACTCACAATTTCTGGCTTTTCAACCAGATACCAACTTCATCCAGCTCTAGCTTTTGTACACTCCATATAGGTTCTCTGACATGTATGTTTTAATGTATATGATTAACATAAGCCCATGACTACTTGAATAAATGGCTTTAATTGAGTGGTTGTTTTTTCCCCACAGCTAAATAAGAAAGTTGAACAAATGGGAGGAAAATGTAACCCAGAGGAAGAGTTCCGAGCTGTAATTATGGTCCTTGTGATGGTGGTGGCTTTTCTAATCTGCTGGTTACCGTACACTATCTTTGCTCTTACAGTTGTCTTTAAGCCATCACTAAATATTTCACCTCTGGCTGCAACCATCCCAACATATCTCTCAAAGACAAGTCCAGTATACAACCCCATCATTTATATCTTCTTGAACAAACAGGTAAGTACTGTTTGGTGAGAAATGCTGAAGATTGCAAAATCTGTCTCAGAGGATAAACTGAACCACGTGCTTGAGTCTGAAAACCTTCAAGGAGCAGTTGAAGAGATTGGATGCTTAGACACTCTGGAGAAGAGGATATTAAGAGACAATATAATTTTTGTTGTTGTTGTTGTAGTTTAGTCATTTAGTCGTGTCTGACTCTTCGTGACCCCATGGACCAGAACACGCCAGGCCCTCCTGTCTTCCACTGCTTCCCTGGAGTTTGGACAAAATCATGTTGGTAGCTTTGATGACACTGTCCAACCATCTCATCCTCTGTCGTCCCCTTCTCCTCTTGCCTTCAAGAGGAGGGTCTTTTCCAGGGAGTCTTCCCTTCTCATGAGATGGCCAAAGTACTGGAGCCTCACCTTCAGGATCTGTCCTTCCAGTGAGCACTCAGGGTTGATTTCCTGCAAAATTGATAGGTTTGTTCTCTTTGCAGTCCAGGGGAATCTCAAGAGTCTCCTCCAGCACCACAATTCAAAAGCATCACTTCTTCAGAGGTCAGTCTTCTTTATGGTCCAGCTCTCATTTCCATATGTTGCTACAGGAAAAACCATAGCTTTGACTATGCACACCTTTGTCCGCAAGGTGTGTCTCTGCTTTTTAGATGCGGTCTAGGTTTGTCATTGCTTTCCTCCCAAGAAGCAGGTGTATTTTAATTTCGTGGCTGCTGTCACCATCTGCAGTGATCATGGAGCCCAGGAAGATAAAATCTGTCACTGCCTCCATATCTACCCCTTCTATTTGCCAGGAGGTAATGGGGCCAGTGGCCATGATCTTAGTTTTTTTTAATGTTGAGCTTCAGACCATTTTTACGCTCTGTCATCAGAGTGGTATCATCTGCATATCAGAGGTTGTTGATATTTCTTCCGACAATTTTAATTCCAGTTTGGGATTCCTCCAGTCCAGCCTTTACCATGATGTATTCTGCATGTAAGTTAAATAAGCAAGGAGACAATATACAGCTTTGTCGTACTCCTTTCCCAATTTTGAACCAGTGAATTGTTCCATATCTAATTCTAACTGTTGCTTCCTATACCACGTATAGAATTCCAGGAGGTAGATAAGATGGTCAGGCACTCCCATTTCTTTAAGAACTTGCCATAATTTGTTGTGGTCCACACAGTCAAAGGCTTTTGTGTTGTCAATGAAGCAGAAGTAGATGTTTTTCTGGAACTCTCTGGCTTTCTCCATAATCCAACGCATGTTAGCAATTTGGTCTGTTGTTCCTCTGCCCGTTCGAAATCCAGCTCGTACTTCTGGGAGTTCTCCGTCCACATACTGCTGAATCCTACCTTGGAGGATTTTGAGCATAACCTTGCTAGCATGTGAAATGAGTGCAATTCTATGGTAGCTGGAGCATTCTTTGGCACTGCCCTTCTTTGGGACTGTGATGTAGACTGAACTTTTCCAATCCTCTGGCCTTCGTTGAGTTTTCCAAACTTGCTGGCGTATTGAGTGTGGAACCTTAACATCATCATCTTTTAAGATTTTAAAGTAGTTCAACTGGAATGCCATCACCTCCACTGGCCTTGTTGCTAGCCATGCTTTCTAAGGCCCACTTGACTTCAGGATGTCTGGCTCAAGGTCAGCAACCACACTATCTGGGTTGTCCAGGACATCCAGCTCTTTCTGGTATAATTCCTCTGTGTATTCTTGCTTCTGTTAGGTCCCTCCCATTTTTGTCCTTTATCATATCCATCTTTGCACAAAACTTTCCTTTAATATCTCCAATTTTCTTGAAGAGATCTCTAGTTTTTCCCTTTCTATTATTTCCCTCTATTTATTTGCACTGTTCATTTAAGAAGGCCCTCTTGTCTCTCCTTGCTATTCTTTGGAAGTCAGCATTCAATTTTCTGTAACTTTCCCTATTTCCCTTGCATTTTGTTTCTCTTCTCTCCTCTGCTATTTGTAAGGCCTTGTTGGACAGCCACTTGGTTTCCTTGCATTTATCTCTTGACTCCCTACTTTAGCATTCCAGTCCCCTATAATGAGAAGAATATCTTTACATGGTGTCAGTTCTAGAAGGTGTTTTAAGTCTTCATAGAATTGGTCAGTTTCAGCCTCTTCAGCATTGGCAGTTGGTGCATAAAGGAGGATTATTGTGATGTTGAAAGGTCTGCCTTGGATTCATATTGAAATCGTCCTATCATTTTTGAGATTGTATCCCAGTACAGCTTTTCCCATTCTTCTGTTGACTATGAGGGCTACTCCATTTTTTCTACATGATTCTTGCCCATGATAATTGGATATGGCAATCATCTGAATGGAATTCGCCCATTTCTGTCCATTTTAATTCACTGATGCCCAGGATGTGAATGTTTATTCTTGTCATCTCCTCTTTGACCATATCCATCTTACCAAGGTTCATAGATCCTACAGTCCAGGTTCCAATGGATTATTTTTCTTTGCAGCATCGGACTTTCCTTTCACTTCCAGGTACGTCCACAGCTGAATGTCCTTTCAGTTTTGGCCCAACCACTTCATTAAGCTCTGGAGCTACTTGTACTAGTCCTCTGTACTTCCTCAGTAACATATTGGACGCCTTCCGACCTGAGGGGCTTATCTTCCAGCATCATATCTTTTAGCCTTTTGTTTCTGTACATGGAGTATTCTTGGCAAAGATACTGGAGTGGCTTGCCAGTTCCTGCTCTAGGTGGATTGCGTTTAGTCAGAACTCTCCACTATGACCTGTCCGTCTTGGGTCTCCCTGCACGGGCATAGCCCATAGCTGCTCTAAGGCCCTTCGCCATGACAAGGCAGCAATCCGTGAAGGGGATTATATCCCTAGATTAGTGACTCCTAAATTTAAATTCAGCTGTTGTTGGTCTACATTGGCCATGTAGGCTGGGGCATCTGGGAGCTGAAATCCAACAGTATCTTGGGGGGTAAAGACAGAGACCACTGATCTAGAGGAACCCTTTTTTTTCACAAATATTTCGATCTAACAAGGGCATGCTACACACTAATATTGATGGTCACATTCAAATACCTTTCTTGGTCAAGGCCTAGTACAACAGGTTCCCTCAATTGATAGGACTGGGATCCTGTACTGTACATTGCAGTTGTTACTGTCTGTATTCACTTTATTGTTGTCTTCTGATGATCTTCCTCACTTACATCTATATTTCCTTCCCTTCCAATATGGTGCCAAAATTGAATTAACATACTTCATCTAAACTGTTAATCGAGTACAGGATAATGTTATTGCATTGGGTGCTATTTTTCTCCCTATGCATCACAATGTTTCTTTTGCTTAATATAATAACATTATGTTGCTGAGTCATGCTCATGTAAACTGTCATAATCTCATAAAAGATTTAGTAAAGTATGTGGGGAGGTCATAAAGTGTTAGTCTTTTGAAGGAATAGCAATATCTCTGACAGCTTTTACTGCACAGGAATTGCAGGGTCAAATACTAAATGTGCACTGTTAGCAGATATATAGGCTCCAGACTTCCTATTAATTTGCGGGTGCTACAACCATAGCAATTCTGGTGCCCAGTGGTTGACTATCCTGTTGGGTAATGTTTGGTTCACGTGAGAGTGGCACAGGTTTGGGTATTTGGATTCTCTGAGCAGCCAGTAGTTGGGTTAACTTCAAAATTTGCAGCTTGGGCCAAAGCTACAAGAAGTCAAGTCTAGTCTAGTAGGGACTAAAAATAGGATCCAGATAACCAGCAAGAATTGTGTGGAAAGGGAGGTGTGTGGACTGAGAAACCTGATCCTACAGTCCATTATTGTAGTGTTAACCCTATTACAGAATGGATAAGTATTGCCCATCCTGTGGGCTGGAGCCCCTGCCACTGTGGTTACTATCCTGGTGTCTGCAATAGGGGAATACCCCAGAAAGCATGACTCTGCTTACAAACAAGGCACACACCCCAGAGCTTGGAAACATTTTATTTGGGCTACAGTGCTTAAAACCCACAAACTGGCATGAACAGACTTGGGTATTTTGAGCTCACTAGGAATTTTGGAAACTATAATAGTATATAAAAAACCATTTTCCATCTCTGTTCTGGGCTTCTTTTGCACAGAAATATAGCAGTGGTATCTTCCAATGTAGCAGCCAAAGTTAATCCTGCTCAGCCCAAATAAAGAAGCCTTCCGATAATTCATAGACAGGCACATATGTGATGCTGTAGTGAGCATATGGAAAAAGCTTGTGAAAAGGCCTGTCTCTAGGATATATTTTCCCCCTGAATTGGCTTGTGTAGAATATGTTATGTTATGTGCCATCATGTTGGCAGCAACTTATTGCAATCCTAACAGAGCTTTCAAGGTAAGTGAGATATTTAAGGTTTTATCAGATCCAATCCTCCCTTTCCCTAGCAGGTTTCCATGGCTGAACAGGGATATGAGCCCAATTTAAGTTCATGCTCGAAAGTTTTTATATTTAGGTAAGTAGGAGCAAGGAATACTACTTCACTTGGAACCAAAAAGCTTACAATTGCTCTTTTTTTGTTCAGTTTCGTGACTGTGCGGTTGAATTTATCACTTGTGGCCATGTTGTTCTGACAAACCCAGAAGAAGAAGAAGTTTCAACTTCAGCAGCTCCGGCTGAACGCAAAACACCATCCAAGCTCAATCGAGTGACTCCAGTCTGAAGGAGTTTCTCTGAAGCACCATTTGTTGAATTTAATAACATTATGTACAATTTGAACTGGAGAAAAAGAACAATGTATTTCATCATGTTTTTGGTAGTATTATTGTTCCACACCGAAAGAGACTAAACTTCTGATGTATAGTCTGTAAGTGGCTTTTCCCATCTTTATTCCTCTAAAATAAATGTTGTTAATGTCACAGCTATAGTCGCCTAGAGTGGTCCATTGGTCCAGATAGGAGGGGTATAAATCAAATAAATAAATAAATAAATAAAATAGTCAATATTCTTCAAACATCACATTTTGTAGAGACTAAGGGCCAAACTACAGGTTATAGATAACCCATCATTATAAAAGGGGGTTGCCTTTCTCAGACTCTCCCACTCTCCTCCACCTTTTCCCACCACCACCACCACCAACAACTACTTTGAATCACACCTCTTGAGCATATTCAACTCTAATGTATAGTTTCATATTTATTATTTTATTCATTTATTCCTTCCTAAGGCAGACCTACCAACACCAAAGAGAATTGAAGTGAGTCATATCAGAAGCAGTAAGAGTTTCTTTTAGGGGATACAACGCAGAATCACATAGCCAGCATGGCCACCAATAGCTTTTCCAATGCCCAGTTTTATTCAAGCATGATACGATCTCTGTGGGCATTTCTGATCTGTTATAGTTGTTCAAAACATTATAAAAATGTTTCCACACTTGGGTGAAGCTCAGCTGTACACATCACAGTAATCAACAAAATATCATATTATCAGTAGCAAAGGCTTAGATCCAAAGAATGTCTGGCATAGGCAGAAGGGGCTTCTGTTTACACACAGTATGTACAGTATGTTGCCAAATGCCCCCTCCTTGCTAGACCTCACAGCTGCCCCAAACTGGCTCCAGATGGTCAGGGAGCCCTTTGGGGCAGCTTTACAGGTGACTACAGGACAGATGATGGAAAGGGAAAAAGCCAACACGCCTTTACACGTTTGGAAAGACAATTAATCATGCAGCAGGATCTTTGGAGGAAAGTTGGAGTAAGTAGCATCAAACAGGCATGCTATTTTGGGTGCTAGCCATAATTTTTCATGGACACAGCTGACACTAATGTCATGTGCCATTAAAGGAGCACAAGTTTACAACATTAAATATTCTATAAAACCAAGCATTACATATTCTTGGATTCAATACTGGCAAAGATAACAAACACACACACACATACACTTGACACTTGGGAGGTATAATATAGGTCTTCCTATCCCAGTATAATACCCTGTTAATAGTTTACAAATTTCTTTCAAACATATCTGCATGGAATCTGACATGTCTGGAGAGCACCGTGTTGAGAAGACTCATACAGTTGGAAAAGGTTTATCTGAAAACCTTCTGAAGCAGTAGGAGCTTAGGCAAGTTATCACAACATTAAACAGTCAATCACAGAAAGGGGGTAGGAAGAGAGCTGAGAAATGCTGCTTTTTTGGATACAATTCCTAGAATCCCCCATTTCAAAACTGGGTAGGAGGAAGTGTCTTCCATGAACTTTAATTACAATGTCATTTTCATAGGACTTCCATGGTTTTTTTTATTTGAGATATTGAGATATTTCTCTATCTATACTATCCTTTAGTAAAAATTCCTAAGGGGTGTTATATGAAGAAATTCAGTAAGGCTCTTACTATGTTATGCAAAAGGATTTCAGACAGCACTTCAATTGCTTCTAAGGCTAGTGTCTCACTTAGACTTGCTCTCTGTTCATCCTTATAAGTGGAGTTATAGGTTTCTCCTCCAAAGTCTTGCCCTGATGGCACCACTTAAGCTGAAAGCAGGGAAAACAAGCTAGAAAAAAGGGGTCAAATTACATGAGAAGCAGGAAGAATACTAAATGTCTCAAGAACCATCTATTTATCTGTGGACTCGAAGAAGCACTTCTCTGTTGATGCCCTTGAAGAGAAGACTGCTGTGCATGTTACTTCAGATGCAGACATTTTCTGAAGTATCCCCATTTTTGTATAATGCTATACTCAAAGAACTTAGAAAGGTCCTACTATTGTTATCATTTCAGCTCTATGCTAAGACATACTTACAGTATTTTCCCAGGCAGTTGCACAGTAGTTACAGCCTGATTGTTGGGGCTTCTTTTTGTATGTGTGGTGTTTATTCTGATGATAGTAAGGTGTTTCATTGATGTACAGCAAATGAATGTATTTACCATTATATCATTTTTAGACTGTGTTTGCCCTTGAGCCAGGGTGGGGGAAACAAGTGTACTATTCCTCCTACAGCCGTATGACAGTCAGACATAGTCTCAATATCAAGAACAACAGCTTGTTTTAAGAACAGGAGCAATTTAAGAATGGGGCTCACAATTCCCCCCCCCAATAAATAAGATAATGAGAGTGTGCAAAAAAAAAAATCTTTATTGGGAAGATGCCCTCATCCCACCAAAGTCTCTTCATTCAAGTCTTTTTCATGATCACAAGTACCCTAATTGCTGAAATATCCTTAAAAGCAGAACAAAACAATCTCCAGAGTAACATAACTCTTGAACAGTTAAATGCAAGAAGTCTGTATTGTGGGCTAGAATTGGACTCCATCCCTTGGCTTCATAAATGGTGAAAACTGGAAGCCCGAAGTGAAGGGCTGTTTGTTGTCCTGCAAAAGACTGAATTACTGGTTTTGTTTGGAATTCATGAAGAAAGTTGCTCAGATTTGAAAACCTGTGAATACAGCCTCACAAGCTCAAGACCTACTGTAGGAATGGAAGATGCTCTAGCCATTATTCGCTCAGGAGTATAATCAATTCAATTTCAAAGCAATAACATTTTCCATGAGGTACTTCAAGGAGCCAAAAAAGCAAGGGTGGGGTAGCTAAACTGTGAAGAAAAAACTTTCAGTGATTCATACACATTTAGCAAATGGGAGCCTTTGAAAAGAAAGGATAGCTAAGTTTGATAAAAATGTATAATATTTTAATTTATGGCTGTGCATGTATCTCCCAACCTGATTTGGAGCCAATTAAGGGCTTTGGAAGACATTGTGATGTGGCCTGGAACTATTTGTGTCCCGCCTGATTCAAACTGTGTGCCAGATCCAAGCTGATTTCTCCACTTCCAGTTCTTCCAGTTGAGCCCGGAGAACCAAAACGCCTACAAAGTAAATACAGCAGATTTATAGGCATTCTGGTTTGCATTGGAAAGCCAAAATGCTTATAAATTTGTTGCATTCGATGTGCCTGAAATTTGGAAATGTAACAGACCCCAAAGAGGGGAATAGGCCCATCAGACTTCAGATAACTAGCGTCAGAGGTTTGCATAGTAACCACCTTTATAACTTGCTTCTTTCAAAAAGGAAAAACTAACCGAAATTAAATTAAGTGACATGAAAAGACAAGATATGACAAGGCAAGAAAAAGACAGAAGCTGGCTGTGCCCATACAATTTGATATATGCTTCATACAGTTCAATCTGCAACGCCATCTTCCTTTGCCCAAAATCCAAACCCGGTCACTCTATTTCAGTCTGGATTCCATACAAATCAATCCAAATCAGTTCAGTATTGTTTGGAATTTGGGACTGCCCAACTCCATCGCATTGTCCTTTGGAAAATCAAAAGCTGCAGCTGTTCGACATATGATTTTCAGATGCTATTCATGTTTTTCTTTTGAAAGTTGTACTACCATTCAAAAGGTTTTATTGAATGTGTATCAAGCATTTTATTAGGTAGTGAAAGGAAGTTTATTAAGCCGTAAATGTTTTACTAAGTTACGGGTTAAATTTCATTGATTTAAAGAAAGAGGTTATGCATACTGTTTTAAGAGCATGTTACAATGCTTCATTATGGATGCATTGTAACATGCTCTTACATTGAGTCTAAACCTGTCTTTCTGTATTGGTGTTGCCACAATACAAGATGGAAACTGAATTTCAGAGAAGGTCCATTCTTGTCTTCAGTTTTGTCTGCTCAACACCCCCTTGGTCACTGTTGCCACTGTCTTATTTTAAAATGTGGCACATAAGGGCTTTGCACCTGCAGCACTTTGTGGAATTATGCAAGCTGAAGACCCTGCTGTTGCAAATGGTGAGGCTTTGCAATTTGTGCAAGAGATTATTGCCTTCTGCCTTTCATCCTTTGACCATGGACCGATCAGGGACAGTTGTCATTGGACAGCATACAGGCGAGTATCTTCAGCAGTCTTTTCTCCCATTAAACAAAACCCACAACTGCAATTTAATTCCTGGTGTTCACACTAATTTTTCTGTGAACCTGAACTTTACCCAGCCTCAACCACTACCAAGTTGGGCAAGGGGGAATGCTGAGTAATATGTAGGTGGGGCTCATCAGCCATGTAAGGCAGCCTATCTACGAGAAGGAAAACTCTGATTTCAAACCTCCACTGCCTTGTGGCTATATCTACTGACGCAAAAGGCTTCAGGAGTTAACCTAGAGGCAAAATCCGGAGCTGGAGTCCCGGAGGCAGTTCGTGTCATTATGTCAACTCCTGCAACGTTGCTGGAACCAGTTATATTAGCTCTTGCCTTTCCATTGGACCATTTCAGCAATGTGGAGAGGGGGGATCTGCTGCTTCGGTAACAGCCTATCCTCCATACTACTTTACCCAGGCTTCATGCTCTGGAGAGGACACTCCAGCTCAGAGCACATTACCATAATCTCTCGAGACTGAAGGATGCCTAAGAAGAAGGATATACTTTCACACCCCCAATACCCCACTTATTAATGTGACTGTCTTGCTTAACAAGTAAGGCTGGCTATAAACTAGATAAATAGTGACTTTGTTTCTTCTGTTCCATTCACAACTAATTCCTTATATCCTTTGTATCTTTTCTTGTTTCTTGTATCTTTTCAATACTGATGATTTTGAGCCTTCACTTTTTATACTTGGATGCATCTCACAGATTTAAGCAATGGACAAAGGCAGAGACCATGGAAGAGAGGGAATTCAGTCCCAGGGGAAGCAAATGAAGAGGGAGAGAAATATGGAAGTGGGAGAGAGGAAGAGAGTCCAAAGCGATTTGGATTCTAGCAAAAAGAACAGAAGAGCAGGGAAACTAGGATAGGACTCATGGGGGTATGTTGTTGCACGTGTCTGAGCT